GGCCGCGCGCTGCCCCAACTGCCGCCCGCTGAGGGGGCGCCGGCGGGGCCGCGCCTCAGGGCGGCCGCCGTGAGGGCCGAGGGGGAAACCGCGGTCTTTCAAGCCAAGCGCGGGTGCCTTCGGTGCGCCAAGGAGGCATGGCTGAGCGCTGGCGGCCGCTGGCCTAGTCCTCCTCCGGCAGCTCTCGCCACGGGGCTGAGAGGCGTCGGAGGGCGTGGGCTGCCTCCCTCGGGCCTGCCGGAGAGCGGGCAGTGCTGTCGGTGTAGCCTGCCGCCTCCCTGCAGGTAGCCGCGAAATGGCCAAGCTAATTGCTCAGCAGGCAGCAGACCTTGAGATAAGATGGGAGGATTTAATACAAATTGCTACTGCGGCGTAACCTATAATCAGGCTTAAGAATATCAAAATGGGAACCTTGGAACAAACATGACACACCAATGGATTTACATAAACGATAGCAGCGTCCTGATGCAGTAGGGTTTTTGCACGTGCACACCTTTCACATTCAGACATTTCCTCACGTTGGGGAGCAACTGCTTAAAAGGAACCATTGTTTTCTTTGATGGTAATGTTCCTGAAAATCGGTTTAATTCCATTAAAGCCTCTTGAAACTTTTTTGTTAAACAAGAACCCCTACAATAATTAAAGAGGTTTCATTCATGTAAAGCTAGGAATTAGGGTTTCTGGTCCTGCATTGATTTTCTAGCTTAGAGGTGTGCAAGTGTTGCTGCACAGTGAAGAATATACTCTTTCATAGATACTGAATACTTGAGGGTTTTGAGGGGCCTGGGCGAAATTTTAATCTCAGACTGCAAAATTCTGACCCTCTGTGGGACTGATTAGTTCCAGTTGTGCCAAGGATTGTTGCTAAACTTGGAACAGGTCTACTAATTTTATATACAAATACGATTTTGCGTTACTGAGTTTCTCATACTAGAAAAATGGAAAAGAAATCTGCTAACAAACAGATGAAGATAATGGAAAAAACCTAGGAACAACATTAAGTAGACAGCGTTTCAAACCTGCTTCTGTCTTATGAACAAATAATTCTGTAACTTCACTTGCTTCACTGAGGTTATTTCTGCTTAACACAGATGTAAATGAAAGATCAAAGACCTCATTATGCACAATCCCATATTTTTCTGGCCTCGCTCCCATTTTTGTCAAGAGAAAATATTTCAGCTATCCTTAGTGCCTTTAGGACAAGTAGTTTCCATGGTAATTAAGGTTTGGGGGATTTAGTGGAGACCATGTTAACTGAGGACTTTCAGTAACTTTCTCTTACTATGTGATTCAAATATCAGCAATTGCAAGGGTATCTCTAAAAGTCATTAGAGATTTTCATCACTGCTGGTAGCAGAGCTAACAGGGAGTCCTAAGTTATTTGTAGTTTCAGTCGGGATCATTGCAAACTGATGTGCAGCGTAATGGTGTGAAGCTTACTGAATGCTTACATGTGGAAAAAAACTCACATTATTTTTCTCCCTCCCAGCAAGAGGGAAGACAACCTCCCAATATTATTCAGAGGCTTTTCTTCCAAGGGTTCGCAGGAACAAAATAATGATACACAATAATGCAAGAACTTCCTAGGGCAGGGGAGGGGCAATAAAAGGACACCAGTAACACATTGTGGACTTGGTGAAAATAAGATCACTAACAAAATACAATTATAACTTCAATAGAAGGCCCAACTAATAAATACATGCATAGCATTAGTTTAATTTCTTCACAGAGAAGGTTCCAGGGTCTTGCTTATTTTAGTTATGAACTCTGTTCTGTGCAAATAACATCTTAACCAGAATACTCTTTTTTTACAACTCATGTAGCCTTGCCAGGAAACCATCTTTTGGAAAAAACTGGTTAAAAAACAGGTTAAAAAGACCTAACAAAACACAAACAACAACAGCAACAACAAAAAACCTCACAAACAAACAAACAGAAAGCACCAGTAGCTTTGATTTATGTAAGCCAACAAGTAAGTTCTCCAGTGGAGAGTGATGAGTGAAAACATTTATTCCATGTCAGCACTAAGGAATTTTGGAGGAAACCTTCCTGTAAGTTACCACTGACCCAGCTGCAGTAGTGGAAGTGTCATTCTGAGTTGTATTGATAGAGGGCTGAAATTTTTTGCTCTTCTGTCATTTTAAACAATTGAAAAATATCTTGGGATTAAGTTGAAAGGACAAAAATTCAGCTGGGGAAAAGAAATTAAGTTAGAAAATATTTATGGTAGGAGATGAGAGAAGCGGGTACGGTGCCTCTGGATTCAAGAATTAGAGAACTGAGTGGGTTTTTTGTTTTTAAATGTAATAACCAACATTTTGCTATTTTCCTGTTTTGTTTTTCTTAATTTCATTACCTGAAGTGTCCTGGTTTAAGGTTTAGTGGCCAGCCCAGCGCAAACCGTCATGACATGAAGGTAGACAGGATGCACTACTTATCTTCAAGATTCATTGTACTGGAAATAGTGTTCTAGAAAATGCAGTGCTCCAAACCAAACAAACCGTTGTCTATGTTGGAAGAGAGAAAAAGAAAACAAAAAGTTGTTGTATACGTTTTTAAAATTGATTCTTTGTGGTTGTTGTTAAAACAAAGAACCACCAATTGTTAATAGTAATTTGAAGTTCACTAGATGAGCACAGTTTCTGTAAAGTAGTGTCTCATTTCTAAGGATTCTTGGTGTGTTAGTAGAGTAGAGGACAAGGAAGAAGTGACTGATTTTCCTCTAGGACAAAATTCCCAAAGTTACGCAGTTGAAAACAGTATTATCATGGATCTAAAGCTGGTGAGGAGAGGGGAAATACCAGGAACAGGAGATCACAACAAAACATGAGTAAGAAGTGAGGTGGCTCAAGGTTACCTCAAGGACTGGCTTTCCTGAGGTCCACATTTATGGCACTCAAAACATTCTGCAGGGTCCCTAAGCCCCTGAACTTCCTGTTGGTGGTGGAGAATATATCTAAACTGTAGAAGCTGGCGCTATGTACTGGTAGTCAAGCGAAGTCAGAGAGGCTCCTACGTTTAAACAGCAGAAGGCAACATAGAGCAGAAATACGAGTTGGGGCCTTGGAGTCTGGTTGCTGCTCTTGCAGCAAGGCATCCTTTGTTCAGCTGCCCAGGAGGGCTAACTGGCAGGAGCAGATTGCTGAACTAAGACAAGTGTACTCTTCTTATTCTTGCATTCAAAGCTAGATCTCCCATCCCTTTGTGGTGCTGTGTGGATACCCCAAAGCTCTGGTTTTTGTTATGCTTGTAAGCAGCTCAGCCTTGAGGCTGCAGAGCAGTTTGTACAGCTTTGATCACGTCTGAACCTTAGCAGGCCCCTCAACATAGGTGTTCTTCACACTTTTGCTTGCAGCTCCTCTCTCGTAGGCATTCTCATGTCTAACAGCACTGACTGTGCAGCAAAGTTAATGATAGTAGCTTTCCTTAACTGGTAGTTCAAAAGTTAAGGTATTCATGTTTGATACAGAAGACAGGACTTTCCAGCCTCTAGAGATTGAAAGTAACATCTTTCCTTTCAATGGAACAATCAAACCACAAGCCTGCAGGTTTTTCAGAGGTGAGAACTTTCTCCACTCTTCCAACTGAAGCAATTGCTATGTGCAGAGTGAGATACAGAAAATGCTGGACCAAATAGCTGGTGGCTGGGGCATTCTTCCTGAAAGGAAGGAATACTGGATTCTGGGCCAGGTCTCAACATTCTCCCTGTAGTTTATTTTTTCAAGTTACACAGAAAAGCAGAAACAAGTTACAGAGAATGGATTGTAAACCAGGTTTGGTCTCTAGGTGTGTGCCCTCATCACTGGGCTGGATCCTTTTACGGCCTGGTGCTTTTTTGCACAGTGAAGAAAGGGTAGCATGGTCTCACCAGGGTGGACTATTCAGAGAGTGGTAGGCCATGCTCCACGTGGCAGGGGAATCTGCATTTCAGCCCACATCTCTCTAACTGAGGAAGGAATTGAACATGGGCCCAACACAACACGCTGTCATATGAAAGATGGCCATCTATACCATCACTTTCTGAGAGAAAGCCTGCTTTGTATTTTGCTGAGAGCTTAGGCCTGTGATGCTTATTGAGTGTTATTGTACCAAGCCATCTGCGATCTCTGCTGTAGAAAAGCCTCTTGTTCATCCAGCTAGGCATAAGCATGAAATACATGCTGAACTGTTTAGCTCTTTCCAGACCAGGAATACCCAGAGCTGTTCCTCCAGGGGACCATTATGTAGGGGAGCAAAGTAAAATTAAAAGGTGCCTATGCGGGAGCTGCGTGGGTGGCTTTCAAGATCATCTGTTTGAGACTTTCAGGCCTGCATTCCTTAGTGGATCTTGTTTACAGTCTTCAATTTCAATATTTTCAATCACCTAGGGCAAGCTCTCTAATGGATAAAATTGGGTTCGTGCTCAATAAAGTGGGGTATTATTTAACATTTCAGGATGAACACTAGATCTTAATATGTGCTCCCACTGCCTGTCCTCATCCCATAACTCAACACAAAAATTAAATTTTTTCATATGCTTTCTTGGGTTACTCTTCTTTACAGTAACTGAGCTGTGTACAAACATTTAGGTGCTTATTGGAAAGAAGGCATTATGTCCATTATGCAGATGGGAAAATTAAACAAGTTTGACATAACAAAATTTATCAAATGTATCTATGAATTTAGAATGCCCAATGTAAGATGCCCAAAGCTGGATATTTTGAAAATAATTAGCACCGTATGTTCAAACTACAAATGTGTTCAATAAAGTTCACAATTACCTTCACCATGCTCAGGATCATTCTAGATGTCAGATTCCAGATATATTAAGTTCAATAAGGAATGCAGACTCAGTGTCTGTCCCTAAAATGAAGTTAAAGTTTGTTATACGACAGGTGAATGAGGAGACCAAATGAACTTTTCTTAGTCAGTTTTCATTCTGTAGTACCCTGGCTTTTGAGAGTTTCTTTATGATCTTTGTGCTTTTTATGGCTTTTGTGTAAAAAGTCCTAAGGTTTAAAAAAGCCAACAATGGTAAAAAAAAGCAAAGGTCCCTCTGAATAACAGCTTGCTCTTCCAGAGGATTGACACTCCCACCCCCAACAGGTATCACACCAGAACGTGCTGGGAGTGCACTCTCTTACCTCATCTAGGTCACTAATAAGGACATTAAGAGCTTTGGCCCACATATGGGTCCCTGAGGAACACCACGAGTAACCAGTCACATTTTGGTGGACTTTGCACTGCTGATCAACACCCATTGTACTCTGTATCCCAGCCAATTACCCACCAACCTTGTGGTACATTTTTCCACTCTGTATTTCACCAGTTTAAGGGTAGTGTGAGAGACCATGTTGAAGGCCTCCCCAAAGTCAAGATAAATGGCACGCACCGCTCTTCCTCCTCTGCTGAGCCAGCTGTCCCATCGAAGGTTTGCCTTGGAAAAGTCACATTACACCAGCTGTTCTTAGTCATCTTTGTGTCCCTCAGGTGCTTGGAAATGTCTTCCATGAGTATTTGCTCCATAGTCGTCCTGGGGACGGAGGTGAGGCTGACAGACCTGTAGTTCCCTGGCTCTTTCATCCTGCCCTTCTTGATGTTGCAGCTTAGTGTAACCCTCTTGCTGTACCATGTGAAGAGCAGTGATTACTGATGCATTTAAATGGTCTGTGTCTAACATCTCGTAATCTGTACATCAATGTATGTGTTAAAGAAGAAGTCATCAAGCATTTGGAGGCCTGAGAGACCGAAACTTAAATGATCTAAGGAAAAATGAAGCATTTTAAAAATAAGGTATTTTATGTGGTATTCTTGCAAATCTATTCTTTAAAAATTGTGGAAATTCCATAGCCTGCTGCATGTGAGTGTCCAGTTTTAAAGCTCATTGGAGTTTAAAATAATGACTTTACAGCTGCTTTATATATGGATGTCAACATGATCTTAACCATGTAGTTATAACCGACATTACAATAATTCCTTCCCACAGGACCTATCACAATGGCATAGCTGGCCATTATCCTAATCTGGGCAGATCACCCTGATGAGTACTGGGTGTTTGATTTCCTACAAGTCTGTCAGCACTTCTGGTTAGGTAGTAGATTAAAATTACTAGATAATGCATTCATTGTATGTAAGCTGGAAAAAAAAAAAAAGAAAAGATAAATGAGTTTGCTGGAGCTTCAAGTGCCTAGTGCTGAAAACTGGAATACATCCCCAAATATAAATTCTATAAACAAGAAAATTGTAATTTGAGACATTTACACTTTTTGAGAAGTTTTATCCAATAGCTACCCATCGCACAGTACTGAAGAAGCATCTACTGTTTCCAGACTGGGATTTTGCTGCTTCTGGAGATCACTACCCTTTTCTAAAGAATTATCCGGTAAAAGGGAAGGTAGCCAATGGCAACCTTTCATCAACTTTGTGGGTATGTAGAAAAACTGGTGTTTCTTGGGGGGTGTGGTCCTCTCTGTAGGAAGTAATGCTAGTATCTTTCTGCTAGTGGCAATTACACGTAGCTTGGGCTACCTTAATAAAACATTCCTTCACGTACTGAGGAAGAAAGAGTTTATCTAGCATTAGAATATGACTCATTTCTAGCCAGATATTTTTCAGAAGATGCTACCTTGTGTTTTCATTTCATTTATCAACTTCCTGTTTTTTTATATTAAAGCATATTTGTACTGTAGTGGAATAATTTCTATGTAATAAATAGCACTTAGTATAGAAAATAATTTTATTTCTTTTTCTGCTTGCAGGTTGCCCACAGATATCTAAGAATTTTCTTCTTTTCCAAAATTATTGCAATGTAACTTACAGGTGTTAATATAGCAATAAGGTAACTATAGTGTTACACCGTGAAATACCTCAAGCGAATCTTTTGTTCCCCTTGCAGATCACTCTTAACTCCATGGTATCAACACACGTTATCAAAAATTAAGCAAAGCATGATGCTTAAATATTCTTCTATTTTAATACTTTTCAGTGTGTGGCTATTTTACTCTTTTGCCCTTAGTAGATGCTTTACATTTTAAATTGGGAAAAATAGTTAGGACTCTTTTCTACTTGGCATTATTGATAAGTCAGAAGTAGTTATAAATGACCAGTAATACCTATTCATTTTCAAATTTTTAAAATAATATTTGCGAAAGAAACAGAAGTTGTGAAGTGATTCATGATAACGATTTATTCCACAGTGTTACCAGAATCTTTGGTAAGATGAGCTAACTTGAACAATGTGCATTTTAATATAGTTAAGTGCAGGCTAATATTTCTAGGAAAGAAAAATGTAGATCAGTTATCTGATAGTGGACTGCATTATGAAAAACAGTGATACAGAAAAGCAATTAAGAGCACACAGAAATTCTATCCTTGAGGATAAATGTGAGAGCACACAGTACCAAGAGGGATTTTGTTGGTGAAGCACTATGTCTTGGCCTGATACCGAGACAAAAATTGAGAAACCGGTTAAGCAGAACTATATGGGTTGATCTGGGGTCTAGAAGAGGCTTGAAAAGTTTAAACTTTTTAGCCCTCAATGAATCATATAAGAGATAAGTCACCCGGAATTACATAAGTAAAGAGAATAATTGCATTAGAAAACTTCAGTTTAGCAAACAAATCTTTTAAAAGATTTAGTGTTTGAAAGCTGAGCTAAAAGACATTTTTTGATTTAAAAAAAAAACAACAACCAAAACAAAACAAAAAATCCCTTAGGCTAACTAAGCCTTGGAAAACATGTAAATAGATAGGCCTGTAAAGTATTCCTCGTCACCTGAAATCTTTAAATCAAGCAGGTGGATTATTTCCAAAGGAAGTGTTCTAGCTCCAACAGAAATTACATAGACATCACTTGAGCTAATTGTCACCTGTACTGTGCAAAAGGTCAGGCTGGAGAATCACGGTGCTTTCTTCTGGTCTGAAAACCTGTGGTGATATAAAACATCAAAATGGAGAAAAAAAGACTCTTTAAAATGTTTTATAAGAATTTTAGAATATCTGCCATAATATTCATATAGTATATGGTTGGAGATTGCAATGAATGCATTTTTTTAAATAAATGCATTTTTTAAAATAATTTAAGTTAGCAGACATATTACAGTTTGGTTTTTTTTTTTTCCTGTTTGTATTGATTATTTTTGATGAATAGTCAATAGAATTGCAGTATCTCTCTTATTTTAGGCTACCTATCCCCTTCCCCCTGATAAGATACTATTTTCTTTCTTTACTGGTTTATCAAATCTTTTAAGACTGATATTTCTATGCTGGGTGTTCAACTCAGGATAACTTTTTGGAAACCATATTTCTATATTGGGTAGCGAACATTAACAATATCAAAAGCAAAAGGACTAAAGTTAATAAAAACAAATTCTAATGCAAGAAGTAGTTCTGAAATACTAGACCGATTGGTGGGATAATTTGGAAATTCACCAAGGAGATTTCTCTTCTATTTTATATTATAAACTCTCTGTGGCAGAACTTTTTTTCTTATGTGTTGACAAAATGTGAACACGGTTTCGGACATTTATAAGTGCTAATCACAAAATAACAAAGGTAATGAACATTGTAAGACATTTAACTGGCAACACATAGTAATCCCAGTGTCAGATAACCTCTTTTTTTTTTTTCCAGTATGCATATGTAGCTCTTATTAATGAAACTCAAGCTGCACCTAATTACTAGTAACAGAAAATCACTGGCATTTACCTCCCACATACAGAGCCACACCTTGCCCTCCAGGAAATCCAGAGAGCTTCCCAAGAACTATCCCTAGCTCTGGCCTAGATTTCAGCCTCTTCTACAGCGTTTTACAGTAGAAGCTTGTCAGAGCCAATCCTGTCTGGTGCACAGGGGTTGACTGAGCACAGAAATTAAATTCATCATGAAATCTGGTCTTAAGTTAGACCTTTTATTACAGTTGCTCTTTTGCTTGGTCTGTATGGCCCAGCAAATTTGGTGTTCTACCCTACACAGACTGATGCCAAAGACTATCTCTGTTCCTTACAGTAAAAGACAGAACAGAATCAAAAGCACCATTTCAGTAAAAGTTACTGTACAAGATGGCAAGAAAGAATTAGCTAAGATAATATTTTCCTTTGTCTATATTTCCAATTTGATCACATTTTCCTCCAGTTTGGGAAAATACTTTATTTCCTAAATTTGTGTGGGATTATTTAAGAAAGAGAAGGTACAACATGGTTACCTGTGGCAGGAGAGGGTTAGGCTGGTTCAAGCTCTAGCCTTTTATTTCACCAGGAGAGTTTTAAATGCATCTGAAAAGAAATGACAGCATTTAGTCTGATACCAGGATTGTATCCCTCAGCTGACAGTGCAGCTGGTCACGGCCCCTGTAATTCAATTTCAAATGTAAATGTGCAGTACTAGTGCCAGTAAGGGATTCAGGAACCCTGTCCTGTCCTGAGTTTCGATCCTCACAAATGCTTCATAGATAACCACTGATGAGTCCCATTGCACCTCATTCTTCTACAAAATTAGTGTGAAAGCATTTTTGCCTTATAGGGATAAATAAGCAGAACATATATTCTAGAAAGAAAAACAACAGCCCGGCAAACCACACAGGGAGTCCTCTCCTGGGAAGCAGAGTTGCTGAAAAGGAGTTGGAAACTGATAGACCACCATCGCTACTTCTCTGCCATGGTGACTAGAATAGGGAATATAGTTCTTGATTGCCCAAGAAAGTAAATACTAAGAAAGAATAGAGAGGTTTATACTTCCTCTGTATATGGCACTGATGCAAGGCAAATTGGAATGCTGTACATGGGGTTTGTGTCCTAAATTCAAAAAGGGTGATGAAAAATTAGAGGGATCTCATAGAACAGACATGAGACATGATTAAAGGATTAGGCTACTCTCCTAATAAGGGGCTCAAGGAGTTCCACTATTTAACTTATCAAAGAGAAAGTTAATGGGGGCCCTTTACATACCTTTCTATGTAGTAAATACCCATTTTAAAATACATGGCTTCGCTCTAGCAGACAAAGATTCAAGACCTGCAATCTTAATTTATAGTTACCCATAATTAACCATTGAGAGGGTTACCAAGAATTATGGTAACTTTTCTGTTGATATTTATATCAAGATATGATGTTTCCCCCTTAAAATGATAAAATCTAGTTCAGACAGGAACTATTTCAGGGAAATCTGCTCTCCATTATACAGGAAGTCAGACTAGAAGATCACACAGTTCACTTTAGGCTTTGTAATCTGTTAATTAAATAGTTTATATACATTCCATTTAATTGTTTCTGTGATTATTAATAAATAGTATTTTTAATGTTTCATGTTTGACTGCAGCCTCACCTAATCTCAATTATTTCTTACCGTATGTGGGTGGTGGGACTTTGTCATCCTACCAGCACCTCCACCTTCATCCCTACGGGTTGCATCATTGTCTTGTTACACAACCTGCAGGGCTGATATTGTTGATACGGTGCCAACCACAGAATCGTTGAGAGATGGTGTGATGGTGTTGCTGGAGATCCCAACAAAACTGCTCTAGATCGTGCACGCAAGTTATTTATCAATATGAAGTTCTGTTGTATTTTTTTAAAACTTAACTAGAATATAGTGCTCAGAGGATTGTAGTCTCTTTGCAGATCTCTCCTGAGGACTTTCAGCACATAATTCTAGATTTTTTTTACAAATAAATTTATAGTTTTCCAGGCTGAGGCTGATATTTAAAATTTTGTTCGCACTTGTTTATGCAACTGTATTTTGCTTGGTAGTCCTGGGAACAGACTGCCACCCTGACAGGGACGAACATCACCGCATCCCTTGGCCATGCTGTTGTTTCTCTGGGCAATCCTCCAGCTTTCCATGGAGAGCAGTCCCTGAGGAAGCAGTCCATCTTTTTGGTGACACAATGTTTTGCTTTCCTTTGGGCTCAGGATCTTTCATTCTATTATGCCTGTTAGCAGAAATTAAATAGCAAGATATCAGTCTGGTACCCTCACCTGCTGGCTGTATTTCTAGGTATTATCCTGCCTTAGGAAGAGGCAGGCATTCTGAAGCAAGGATAATCTTGTGACTAATAATGTATTAAACTCAGAGAAATTGTCCAGGAGCAGAACTTGCAGTAGTATACTGGAAAGGAACCCACAGAAGGAAGGAACTGAATGGTTTGAGTCTGTTAACAGTAAACACTCTTTATCCCTCCACCCATAGGCATACATCTTACTTGTACCACTACTACACATCCTAGACCAAATGTGAGAACCATAACACTTCAGGGAGCTAAATACATACAACGCCCATGGCAGAATTAAGTTCTGGGACAGAGCGTTTGGTTTTTTTTTTAATGAGCCTAAAGAAGAAAAAAAAACACAAGTGGGAGTTACTGTAACCTGCAATGGGGGGAAATGGCTGAGCTGCATGGAAAGCCAATCATTTGGTAGAGTCTGGGGCATCTGCAATGACAACCTCCTTCTGGGAGTATTTAAAACAGAAAAATCAAAGCAGTAACAGATACAAACCTGTATCAGCAATGAAAGAAATAGCATGTGGGTTTTTTCTTGAAGAACAAAAAACATGAGTTCTAATTGAGAATATAATCAAAAAAGTGTCTACGTGTGAAATATATTAAAGGCTTATGCCTTTGAATCTATTAGGTCCAATTTGCAAGACTTGAGAATTTGCCAATTGCATCATTTTCAGTTACAATTATGAGATTACTGTCAAGAAAAGCTGACTTTCATTTTTGAAGCCAAATCCTGAGAAGATACTGGAAAATCAGGACTCACCCTCAGTATTTCTGATCATCCTTTAACAGTTTCTTCTGATGGAGTAATACTGGTAGCACAATAGCTTTGCTAGAGAGCTTTTGAAAACTGGTCTCTCAAGCTTAGAAAATCTGTGTGAAGGAAGTAATGGTTATCATTCAAGCTTGACGCCAGACTCTAATTGTTACTTCAAACACAGCAAGAACACAGCACCAACAGGATATTTATTTATTTTTTTAAATCTCTTTGGTACGCTGTAATAGCTACACCTACATCCTCTTAGAAGAAACACATTTTTGTTCTCCTGAATACTTTGTACAAATATTTATTAATTTGTGCGGTGCATTCATAAATTTAGAGTCCAGAGTTTAACTCTTCTAGTTTTTCACTCAGTTGATCTTACTGTCATGCTTCATACAGCGCTGCATCTAAATTACGCTAGACTTACTTCAAAAGCTGTTAGCCCTTGAAGTTTCCCTTGCTTAGGGAAGGAAGATACTGTGCTTATGGTATACGTGGCAGGGGCCATGAAGCTGCTCTGTTTCACTTTGCCTTTACCACATTGGTTTAACTGATCTAATCAAATTGTTTGTGCTCAACAGCGTTATGTTTACGAGTGTCTCTGGATCCCACAAAGCACTGGGCCCATATACCCAGAGAAGACGGGGACTGTGAAATAAAAATTAGTTTCTTACCCGCAATACTGTGTTTCATCTTCATTGCACAATCTGTCTACTGACAGTCATTTTAGACGGGCTACCAAGCTAAGCCCGCAAATACAAATAGCATTGCTATATGATTTTCAAAGCAGCCAAATCACATACTTCATTCCTCATTTCGTTGATTACATACATGCTGATTTTTTAAAATGAGGGCACTGAAAACAAAAGGAATTTAGCATTAAAGAAATACCGCATTTTTATTGAAAAAAAAATTTGAAACTATAAGTTCTGTGTTCCTGCAGGATCCTGAGCAATGTTCTCTCTCAAAAAAACCCTACAAAACCCCAACTGTATATTTTGACATACAATATAGATCTGACTTGCAAAAAGCACAGGTATTGAAATTTCCCTATTGTTTTCCAGCAGAGGCTCAGGCTTCCTTAAGAAATGTAATGTATGGAAAATATGCGTGAACTTGTGCTTTGTAATTATATTTGTGCCTTTCTTAAAGGTCGTCCATAGACTTCTCTACACCCATGGACTGAAAATCATTGCTGTACAGTACACAGACATACTAACATATGGTAAAAATATTTCTTTTAAAGGGTTTTTTCTGAAAATGTTTGTGATTTTTTTCTTGATATGACCTGCAGTGGACTGGTGGTGCAGATCCTATATGAAATATAATTTTAAATTAATGAGGAGGCCTTCGTTAGGGTACACACTCCCATGGAACATTTTCCTGAAACACCTACTATTATTTGGAATTTGGTTTATTTGAAAGGGTCTATGTTGTCAGACCTATATTGTGACCAATGATGAAGGAGAGAGTTGGGCTTTTTCTTTCTTAAAGAGCTAAAGTAGGAGTATGAGGAGCTGTGTGCTTGTGGCACAAATGAACTCACCCATCAAGAGTGTAACAGCCTCTCCGGTTGTACATTATGCACGTCATCATACAGTGACTTGGTACTGTGTCTTGTTATGCAGCCCTAGGAATGGAAGAAGCATAAAGAGTCATCCTAAGGAAAGAGATGAAAGCTAATTCTGCTGTTAGCAGAAGAATGGTACCTCTGTTCTTTTAATTTCCACTTTGCTGTACGGTGCCAGTACCAAAACAATGCAGAAGTGCTTGGGAATGAGAACCCTCATCTTGGCTTTCCCACCTTGGTTTTTCACAGCACGTAGCAGGCAGAGTGCACCAGGATGTGTTCTTAGTCCTCGAGGGAGATCTTGAATCTCCCTGGAGGAGAAAAGATTCTTTCTATCAACACTGCTCATCTTCCTCAGTGCTAACAACACAAGGGAGGACTGAGGAGATACAGATTTTAGTCTTCATTGTGCCAGAGACAGGCTTTGAAATAGTATCTTAAATTACTGAGATGTTAAAAAAAATATCACTAAAGGTGAGGGTATCGGTTCTTCCTGGTTTGGGCATTGAAAGTAAAACCATGAACAAGAGAGACAGGTGCTCACCAAGAGGAGGTTCTTCTCTGCCCAGCTCCTGCATGGTCCTGCCTCAGAGAGGTTCTTCTGGCAAAGCTGCCCACACACCAACAGCCACTCTGGCAGCGCTGGGAGAAAGACTGTGGTCAAGCCAAGGATGTGAAACTCCTGTTGGTGACATTTCCACCGTGTTGCGACTACGCTACCATCCTCTAGACAGGGTTTGTGTCATAGATGATGGAAAGCTCAGATTTTACCTTCAGGTTCTATGGGTGATTCCTGTGTCTTTGAAGTTCTGTTCCCACTGAAGATGAAGGCAGATTCCCACTGATATTAATGGAGTTAGGATGTGTCCTTGTCTCTATTTTTGCTCTTGTTTCCTTTGTTGCAGTAGACCCATTCCTTTATTAAAGCTTTTGCCTGGGGGAAAAAGAAAAGCCACGTTACTAAATAAATTATGAAATATTTACATTTGTGAAGCCAACCCCTTATGGCTGGCTCCTCCTCTGATATTAAGATGACACTTTTTATAGAGCTACAGGTTCTATACTGCCCTTATTCCTCTGTGGGATCCAAGACCGGGAGGTGACAAAACAGCAGGCCACCATGAGCCAAGTGACAGTAAGTAATATCTAGGAATGTTTGCTGATTTTGACTCAGTGCAGTGAAAAACAACTCTATTAGACCAGTGGTGGTTTGTTTAGTGCTAGAGAGCAAAGTAGAATCAGAGATGAAAAGAAAGAAAATATAAATTGGGGAGCTTTCTAAACTAAGCTTGATTTTTACCTGAGAATAAAAAGCCATGTGTTGTAGATATATAATAATAATAATCCTGAGAGCAAAGTGTTAAAGGCAGCAGTTTGTTTATCACTATTTATGTTCTGTTTATGTTCTTTTGTACTTGTATTTGAATTTGCTTTTTGCCTGCAGTTCTGTCAATGCCACAAGAACAAATGAAGCTAGCTTTAGTGCCACGATCCCTAATGAAATAATCTGCAGTTACTCTTGTGAATGTTTTGCATCTCTTGTTTTCATTGTATTTTTGTGTTGGCTTTAAACCTTAATAGCAGCTCCCTTCTTCTAAAAAAGTGGTTTAGCATGTTGTTCAAATATGTGTGGTTCAAACTGTTTAGCTTATGAATTCCTCCCTCCTACTTTTACATATGTAATGCTTTTGACTTCGCCTTGCCCCACCTCTTCTAAGTTCGGCAACAGACAGGTAGAGACTTTCTGGGTGCTGGTTTGTTGGTTGGTTTTTTTAGATACTTGGCTAAGTCACTTCAGTTTATGCTGTACATTTTTATCTCTCTGTGACATAGTCTGTGGAGGCTGTATCTGTAGAATGGAAAAATGATAATAATTATTGTAGAAATGGAACATCCTGTTAACTGGATTTCTGCACGGTTAACTCCTAATGGTTCTCTGTCACCAAACTCAAGGTCTCTGACCTCCCCAATGTCACCCATCCAAATGTTACTTCTGCTCTTCCCTTGCTTTTTCTCTCCTGCTGACTGTCAGTTTTCTTGTTCCCTCTTCTCCATTTCTCCTGCAAGCTCCCTTTGCTCCCATTGCTCTGGTTCATCTCGTCTTTTGTCAGTAAAGAGGAGGGCAGGTTGGTAGGTGGCTGGAAACACGACTGTACTAATTATCCCTAATTGCTGTGCGGCATCTCTTCCATGGTCCTTCCTTGCAAAATGTCCCATCTTTCCATGCAAGAGTCTTGCAGATTTCCTGTACACAATGCCTAGGATTTATAAAGTCGGTGTGTGAAATGGAGCAGCTTTCAGAGCAGGGAAGGAAACAGTTCTGAAATGTTTACTGAGCTGGGTGTTTTAAATCCTCAATGTGACATGGTGGACAGTGGTGCTGAGCATACTCATACCAGTGCAAAAATACGTTTTTAAATAGATTAAGAGAAATAATGATTTTTAGCTGGCAGAATCTTTGCCAAAAAAGGAAACCTGAAAAAAAGACACAAAAAAAGCCTTGGAGCTCAATACCCTCACACTTTAGAAAGTCAGAAGTAAGGAACAATAAGAAAACACTTGATGATATGGCTGTTGGTGAGCTTTTGGCACGTTTTGGATTGTAATGGAGAAACCATGTACTGCTGTAATGTGACATGCTTATTTGTGGGCATTAACACATGCGAAGATAGATTTTGGGGTTACTGTGTTATGATGCACAACTGTGTGATTAATAAATTAGGCAATGCTAGTACAAGTGTGCTGGAGTGAACCACTTGTAGCAATCGCCAGCACTCTAGTAGGCAACATTAAATACTGTGCTCTGCTCCAGTAAAGCTTTGAGTATTTGAATATCAATTTGCAGATCCCAAGCTGCGAAGTGATCAAAGGAGGGAAAGAATGTGCCTTACTTTTATCCTTCCCTATCCTTATGACAGGGACAGTCAGACTAGTCACCAGATTCCCTGGGTAGAAACGTCAAACAAACTCAACTGAAAGAAATAACATCAAGAAGATTTACCAAAGTCACTTGAGTAAAAGTTTAACACAGCTGTTTATAAAAAGCAAGATACGTTTTTCAAGTGCTAATGTTTTATATTTAACAGTTTGAGTAAAACAAACATATCAAATATGCATAGAATAGCATACTCTTATTACTGGGATAAATAAATTAAAAACTACAAAGATAAGCATACAATGGGCCTGAATTAAGAAATTATATTTTGAGCTAGTTCCTGTGTGGAGCCAAGGTGTGAAAGTGCTACAGCTGATTTCTGTGTTCATATGCAGCTTCTTTTCTGCATTTACTGCCAATTTCATAAGGATTATGAGGAAATTCAGCTGGTTAGGCCTTTAATCTGGTATCTCCAATCTAAATAGGCATCATTTGGCAAAGGTAGTCAGGTTTTCAGGACATCTAGAAAACACTGGTCTTGCTATGCCAGCTTGAAATTTCAGATCAGGCTCTCTGCCTTGTGCTGTGAAGAATTTATTCCCTGCTGCAAGGTGGGTTTTTTTCCACACTTTGCCTAACATAAATCTCTGTTAATCTCCATTCTCATTTTTAAATTCCTGTCTTTTTAAGAAATCTCTTGTGAAATTAAAGAGCTGCATCATATTCTTGGATCACATTCTGAGCACAGTTAGGCTTTGGATTACACTGAGCTTTTAGAAGACACTGCCAGCACCCGAACATTTCACCCAGGGCATAGGCAGCTGACATGTTCTGAAGTAATTACTATACTAAGTACCCGGTGATGTATCTTTCCCAGAAACTGAAAATAAAGGTATAGACGAGATCCACACAATAATTTATGGGCGTTAACATATGGGTGTAAGTTTCTCTGGGGATAATTATGTGACTATGCTAATAACGCCAAGGATGCTTGGATACATTAAAACAAATGCTCACAATGATGTCCTTGAGCTTTTCATTACCGTCAGGAGCCAGGAGTGCATATATTTAAGCAGGAGAGAGGGATGAGAGAGGCCCATACTCACAAAAACCACCCTCTCCCTTCCCACTGCGGGCGATCTGAGGGAGCCCTGTTTGACACATTAGATGTGTTTACTGGAAACTTCCCGCTTTGAGAGCAGAAGACAACACAAAGCGTGCTGAGAGGGGAGCAGCGTGTGGGGTTTGCAAGGAGAGATGGAAGAACGGCATTACTGCCAGTGAAACTATCACAACCCCCTGGGCTTTGCAGGACTTCTTTTAAAAACTGCAATCTAGCACACTGTGAGGTAGACTTTGCTGTGGTTCAAAAATACAGGTGTGGGCTTCCGTGACACATCCCAGTGCCTTCCCCTTGGAGAAGGGAATGTTCCCAGCTCAAAGAAGCTTTTCCCAAAGCTTCCCTTGACTTGCTGGCAGCCAGCTGGCACCCAGCCCCAGGTGTCCTTGAGAAATTCTCCGACACATTGCACATCACTCCCATCATGAGGGCTCCATATATTTTCAGTTGTTGTGGAACCACCAGAAGCAATCCCACCATAAAGGCTGCCCTGTGAGGTGGGCTCGGGCTGCAATGCCTCTGCCTGTTTTCCAGTATTGGAATTGCCCAGCTGGAATTAAACTTCACACAGTTTAAGTTTTTATGCATTCAAATTTCTTTGGGTTTGGTTTTTTTTTTTTTTTTAGCTTTTCTTTCAATGAGGCAGATGTCTAATCCTTTGACCTCTTACACTAAGTCTGTGCAAAATTGCACTCTTCCAACACAGCAAACCACTACCCTAATGATCCACAATTACCAGTGTTACAGCAGCATCCTCGGGGATACAGGGGTTTACAGAAAAACCATCAGGTTTTCTTTTGGAGCAGTGAGAGGGAGATGGAGTTCTGCCCTTGCTCTGGGGTGGAAGCGGCCACGGTGAGGATGGGAGAGGTGCTGGTGGGTGAGCGAGTGGCAGGCATGTATTGCAAGAGGCTGTATTTGCATTTCCTGCCCCTCGCCAGCTCGTCAGCTGTGCTGGGACCCAGTCTCGGCTTGTGGAAATGATTACAAGGCAATTTATGCCTACCAACAGCAATCCCTACTGTTGCGTTTGTTACAAACTTGGCTGCAGCACAGTGATGTTTAGTGGATTAATAACGTTGGCTTTTGGCCTCTCCTACTCCCTCGGCAAACCATTTTGATGTATAATAAACATTCTCATTTAGTCTAACTAGAACGGAGCCCAAGGGTCGGAATAGCCATACCTGCACACCGAGGAGAAGAGACTCCGGGTGTCCAGACAGGAGACCAGCTTTCTCCCCTCCCAGTGCCGGGGTCCAAGACTTCTGGCCTTTTGCAGGGTCAGCTTTGCTGGGCAGGTCCTCCTGACATCGCAGTGGGGGCAGCACCAGATGTCGCCTTCTGCAGAAGGTCTGTCCAGTCAAAAGGGTCACAGCAGGCAGCACAGAGTCATGGGGACAGGCAGCTATTTGCTGAGAGTTCGGCATTTTGAAAAAGAACAGCACAATTTAAAATTAACAACTCTATGAATATATATATGAATATATATTTCACACCAAGGGCTGATCACAGTGCATGCTGTGAGGGCACACGAGGTCGAGTAAGTGGTGTGTGGTCTTGCCTTTGCATAGGAAGCCTGAGAGTTACAAACCCTTCAAAAGTCTGTACGGTTTATCTTGTTTGATTATCAGGCTCTTTGGGGAAACAAAGAGTCTGCCCGTGTTTCATAACGCGTGCAGTAGAAATACGAGGATATGCAAATACGGACGTTACACAATGAAAGCAAAACCGAATTAAAGCTGTTTACAGTCGAAAAATGAGAGAACCAGAACTGCAGCCTTTTTATTGCTACACCACTGAAATGAGTGTGTGCACAACCCGGCTATTTAGCTGCTTGTAATGTTGTGTGGTACAACTGTGTCCCTCCATCCTCCCACTGCTGTTTGCGTCTCCTCAGTAACACTCAAACGGAGGCTACCAACCCTGGCTATAACGAAAGAGGAATGTTGTAAGAATCTTGTGAAGGTTTATGACAATTATCAATTGATCAAGTAATTGCAAATAGCAATCAGCACTTAAAGCCAAGTGAGGGATGGTTGACTTTTAGCCTGGGGAGCAGGACTGTGGCAGCGCTGCTCTGGTGGCTGGGACAATTTGCTATTGAACTCGGTGACCCAAACGCTGTGGCTGAGCATCTGCCACAGGAAACACAGGTTGTGTCGTAGGCCCCGGTGTCCTCTGGTGCACTGCGGTGAACCTCACCAGCGCTGTCTCCAGCGAAGGCTTTCTCACCATTCCTGTACACTGAGGTCACGCGTGTGCAGAGCTGTGGGCAAGATACAGGAGTTCAGACAGGTAGGTCAGGTTAGTGTCTGCCAGAAAAGGTGGGCAAGAGAAATTAATTTTATCTTGGCTTATGTGAGGGATGCCCTACCTTCCCACTGCTCGCTTCTGTGTCACTGGCAATTTTCACTGCCACAAATAGGTGTTGCTGGACCACAGCTAGTGAAACAATGAAAAGTATATATGTAAAACAATTTGACAAGCATCAGAGAAAAAACATTATGGAACAAATTATTTATCAAATACTATTTGGTCATACGCAGGGAAAAAGACCTGTTTCATGCAGAATAACTAAGCTGTCTACGTTATTTTCATTGAGACCTGGGTTTGCCTTTGATCCAGGTTGACTAAATATGAAATCCATTCCTGCACAATCTTCCTCATTAAGCAGATGGGAGACATTATTTTTATTTCTTCAAGGAGTATTCACAAATGTTTTCTGAAATTAATTTTTTTGGTACTTCATACACTTCGTTGTTTGGTTGATTTTTCAGGGTGAAAGGGGAAGGAAATCTTCAACAGCTTCTTGTGGTTGTGGGGCATTTTTTTACATCTCCTTCCTTTCCAGACACTGTTACGGAGAATCAGGGGTATGGACTATGAACTCAGCAAAACCGAAATATTGGTGGGGCAGCCAACTCTTCAGACTGGAGTTTGTATTAGCAATTCAGGGGGAAAAAAAAACAAGTGAGATATAGCCCTATAAATATATTTAGGAACATACTAAACACAGATACACTTTTGAAATCAGAACCCAAGAGTGTATCAGGATTTTGCAAATTAGCTTTGACTTTATAGTAAGTCCATGCAAACTTCAGGTCCTAAGCCTGAGACTTGAAGGTATTGAAAATCAACAGCCATGTTTGCTGTAGTGTAAAAACGTGGTGAAATGACATCTTCCTTCAAATATTTTCTTCTTTTTTCTCTTCTTCCTAATTGTCTCCATTTTTGCTTTGGCAGCTATAAAACATTGTAACCAACCGCAAATAACTATAAAGATGGAAGGAGGAGACTGTAAACAGACCATTTTCACTCTCAATTTATCTTGCTGCTTCATATTTTGGATGTGTTTATTTGTTTACAAGATCGCTGCGCATGAATAAAAACACTAGAAATACTCCCAAGCTATTGGTTACAAACGATTTAAAGCTCATTTCTTCTCTAAAAATCAATCACGTAAAAACTAAGCCTTCCCGTCCACACATCTACTCGTCTCCCTGCCTGTACCCGATTATGTCAGCTCTTTAAGAGATACAGCCCAAACTGAGCAGAAACGCTGTGATTGATCTCAACAGCGCCTGGAAGGCGGAGAGATTTGGAAGCGTTTTGGGGTGCTTTTCCCTTGCTAACTGCCCAGCCCCAACAGCCCAGCTAACAAAACAGCTTTGGCTTGTTCCTCCTGTCCCACGTCCAGCCTCGCTCACAGGCTTCCTGGGGCTCACAGCGATGTGCTTTGGTGTGGCTTTGGGCAGCAGCGGCCCAGCCCAGCATGGATGGTGAGAGGAGCCGAGGAGAGAGTGGAGCACGGCTCGGCACACATGGAGCACGGCTCGGCACACACGGAGCACGGCTCGGCACACACGGAGCCTGCTGCTCCAGCACCCGGGGAAAAACAGCCATCATTTATCTGCAAACCACCCGCTCTTACAGCTAACAAAGTGAAGGTCTAACACATCGGGCAACTCAAAGGGCCATTTCTCAGAGTGAAAATATAGTTTAAGGCAGACATTTCCTACACTTTCCTATGTACACTTTCCATGGGCTGGGCTGTTTGGGAGGAGCAGTTCGTTATATCAATGTGGAAGCCTCAGCGCAACTTTCGTAGTGGGTTATCAAATGCCTGAAGGCCTTGTAGATGTCTTCGTTCTGTGTGCAGATGAACCCACCACTTCTCCAAGCTTGCTCAGCAGCACGGTTTAGGTCTCCAATGCAGGTCCACTGATCTTTGGATTCCCTTGAAACAGCCCATTTGGAATGATCATTAATGGAATGAAAAGTGGAATTCAATGGCGTCCCTATGAGGTTTATGTTGTAGACGTGGTAGTCGAGAGAGCAATTTGAGGGAAGTTTTTGGCCGGAATGCTGCCAGGATTCAGCCAACAAATCGGTCTTCAGCTCCTGAGCCATCCAGGCCGCGTAGATATCTGTGGAATAACACAGGGTGTGGGAAATTAATCTTTCACCTTCCTTCATTTAAGAGGGGACTGAAAAGCATCACCTAAACTGGGCTCTTTTCTTTCCAATGCATAAAGTGAGACAGAGGGGGTTTTTTATTTTGACTTTTGTTTCAGGAGTTCGTTTCTATTTTTCCTCATTATAGAATCAGGGGTTCACGGATTTGACAGAGTTGGAAGGGACCTCTAGAGATCACCTAGTCCAACTCCCCTGCTAAAGCAGGATTGCCCAGAGCACATCGCTCAGGACTGCATCAAGGGTCTTGAAAATCTCCAGAGAGATTCAAACCCCAATTTTGCTCTTTGTTGTAACTGTTGAATAACAGGAAATAAATGTACTGGAAATCCCACTGTTGAACACCTTAAGGCATGTGAAGGACCAGACAGCTTTTTGGTTTGTGTGGCTGAAAGAATATTATGATGGGACACCATTCCCTGCCCTACGTTACATTTATTTCTAAGGCTGATTTTTCCCCCCCCTCAAAGAAATACTGATTGGCATAGAATATATTAAGTGCTGAATATATTAAGTGCTTATTTCTTGCTTGAGAATAGGTGATAAATAGAGCAACAGGTTCTCTTACCATCTATGAACAGGTGTGACTTTGCAAAGTGGAGAAAGGTTTCCCCATGAGCTGACTGGAGCTTGGAGAGGTGGCGCAGGGGGACGGAGGGCAGCCTGGACCCTGCACAGAGCTTCTGCAGGTTTGGGAGGTCAGCTTGGAAGATGTTAGGAATGGAACAGCTGTAGATTCCTGGATTATAACTCAGCATCTGTTGGTCTGAGAAAAACCCAAAGAAATGAATACATGCAGAATTAAAACGTGCTAATGTGAAGCAATCAGCAGAGTAAAGTTCTGCCTTGGAAAGGAAACCTAAATCCTTCTTAAACTTCACAGCCCACCTCCTGGAGGAGTTCAGCGTTAAAGTATTTTAGCAACCAAAACCATGTTTAATTGTATTCTGACTAGCCCTGCAGCACACAGACTGGCTGGGAGACTCTGCTCCCGTTTTCCCACTAACACCTCATTATTCTTAGCAGAACTGTTAACAGTGGTCTCAGTCCACTGCCACTTCCACCCATGCTCATCTTCAAGCCTTCAGCAGTGACACAGCGCTCAGATGGCACGTGTAAATCCAAGCCCGCCCGTATTTACAGGAGTAGTTTCCAGTCTGTTACAGCTGCCAAGCCAAATGCAAACAGAAGAGCTGCCAAAGGACCTAGTTTGGTTTTAGGGAGAACAGAGCTTGACTTTCAGCATCTGGATTGAATTTGCAGAAGAAATTTACATTCCTGTACAGTGCGCAGCTTAACTGTAGAAGTCCTTGCCATGGATATCTTAAAGAGCAAGGGAACAAATGGGCTCATTAGATGAGTTCATGGAAGACCAGTCCATCAGGAACTTTCCAGTCTTTCCAGCTCAGGAAATCCCTGAGCCACAGATTACCAGAAGCTGGGAGGACGGAGCAGGAAAAGCATTAGTGTATGCATCTCATTTTCTTGTCCCCTTTCCCTAAACAGACGCATGATGTGCTTCCACAAACAGGAACCTGGTTTAGATAGCTCTGGGGTGTGCCCAGCCCAGCCATTGCACAGCGTACGTGTTTCATTAACATCGTTTGAGGTTTGTAACTGAGAAAAGAGTGAAAAACAGTGTGAAGAGCTTTAAGGAGTGTGGCAGTGTGACTTCTTGTAATGCCTTTTGGTAGTCCCTTTTCAGGATTCCAGTACCAGATATCACTGTCAGATTGCTCTAAACCTTACAGGCATAGATTTTGGGGTTTTAAAATTTTTTTTTAGTACTGGTATTTTATGTGGCAAAAAGTACCTGGGAAATTCTGTGATATTTACCATACTTCATATTTCTGACAAGTCAAGGCTCCTACTCTAGCTCAAGCAGTGGTTGCCTTATATTTTTAGAACTGCAGGACGATTGCAGCTGAATGAGTTATTACTGTTAAAAACGATTAATCACCCTACTTTATATTTCCAAAGCATTTTGTATGCACAGACTGAGTTTACCCTCAATATACAGTCATGACTATTATTATCCCAATAGTCCCCATGGGGAGATGGAGATAGAGTAGAAGAGTGAATTTCCCACATTCACACAGGAAATGGTTGGATAAACCTAACTGAAGCCAAGAACATTGTTTCCAGGCCCCACTTGGTTTCCCAATCTGACAATGAAGGACAAGAACAAGCAATTTCTGAGGCAAAGCCTCAAGAAAAGCAGTCAGAGGGGTGCTGTGGGACAAAGGCTTTCTCAGGGACAAGCTTTTCACACCTAGTTCTATGAACTGGTCATATTTGAAGGTGACACAGAAGGCTGTCTGTCCATAGGACTCCCCAGAAGCTGGATACCCGTAACCATCCTCAGGGTTGGGAGGGAACAGGGGCACGCTGTGAATCACCCAGAAGCCTTGTGATTTGTCCAAGAGCAGGAATCCTGTCAGAAAAAAAGTTATTGCGAATTAATTAAGGAGGAAAAAGCCCTGAAACGATAGAGCTGTGTCCTACTTCAGATTTGCTGCCGCAGACACCACGCTTCAGTGTGCTAATGTCTACAGTAAACTGGCTGTAGAGTAGGTTAGTGGATTATAGGAGATACTACTATTGTATTAAAATTGTATTAATTCTGTCCTGCATTGCCTAACTCAAACTGTCACCATGCTTCTTTTGAAAAATACCTTTCTCTCTCTCTCTGCTCAAATTTTGTCTTCAAAAGGTCTGATGACTTAGTGGCTGTGACCTTCTCTCTACTGCTAATTTTCCTTCCCTGCATATATTCACTGCATAAGAGGAAACAGACTCCGTCAATCCGGTGTCTTCTTCTCCAGACCAAATTCTCCCCGGGAAGCAGCCGAGAGGGGCTATGCCTGCCCCTGCAGCAGGGTGCTCGGGGAGGAGCAGGGCTCCCCAGCCATCCCCATTGCTGCAGCCTGGAAATACAGCCCTGCGAAATGTCTGCAGCCCAGTGTCAGGCTGGGCAAATCCCATCGGCTTCCTCAGGGAACGCTCAGACCTCCACTGAAGTTTATGCTTATTTAAAGTCTTGCTTCACTTTAACTGCCCCAGAGAGAGAGAGTTTGGAGGGGTTTATGTTTAGGGCGCCTTTCCCTTCGCTCTTGTACTGCTGGTGCCATCAGGATGATGGGGTCTGTACTCACTGAAAAGAGCTCTATGAAAACAAAGGGTCCATAAGCCCCAAGAGTCCTTCAACACAGCACGGGCAAAGCAAAACCAAACCAGAAGCTGCAGCGTATGTAACTATAGACCAAACCACACATCATGCAAATGAGTCTCCAGCTTTGCTCTAGGCAGGAATTTTAGATATGTGGATAGACAGACAAGTAGATGCTATCCACAGCTTTAGAAAGGAGAAGATAGTAGCTTGGAACTCTCCCTGTACCTTTGGTGTGTCCTCTTTTCCACCCGTCAGAGTCTGATGCAGGGACCTCATCGTTGTATATCGCATACGCGACGGTGTCCCTCTGCAGAAAAATACACATTGCTGAAACATGACGTGCAGTAAAAGGAAGGCATTTAAGCAAACATCTTCTGCTGGGAACAGAAGAAACAATTCAGGACTTCTTTGTGTGAATATCGTGAGCCTAATCTTTCTCCCAATTCAGCTGAAAGAGTCTCTGCACAAGTTACAGTAAAATAAACCTCAAGACTCAGCAATAGGGTCCTGTTTAATACGAAGTGGAAGTTCTCTCAGTCATTGCAGTAGCCCTTCCTCAAGAGGTCCAGTGTGCGGGTTTATTGGGCATTTGCTTGTAAAGAAGCCCCCCCCCGTCTTTTTTTGTACCTCTCTCTGATTTAGCAACCAGAGCTCATGAAAATGTTTGCTCAGGAAAAATAGGCATGGCAAGCGTTCTTATGAAGGACAAGCAATTAATGCTTTTTTGCAAAATATTTGCATATGGCCGCACCTTATTTCCCCTGAATAGAGAACTTCAAAGGAGTTGAGACATGCCTCCCCTCCTGATGTACTCTGAGTTTGTAAACAGTTTATTACAATTACAGCGAGACCTGGAATAGGACAGTTGGCCAGATTGCCAGTATTTGACTGACTTCTGGCAATCTCTTCTACATATAAATTAATGACACCCTACCACTAACCCACAGCAGAAACGCAAAGACACACCCAGACTCCCAAGAATATTATGCAGATGGTAAAAAAATAACTATAGGCAGATCTTGTGGTATTTGATAATCGCTTCACACAAATATAAATGAGCTGTCCGACTGTGGGGGGAAAAAAAACCAAGGCCTAACAAGCAGCAATCACTGCTGATGCAGTCACGGTGATTTCAGGGGGAAGAGCAAAACCTAGATTTGATTTGAGACAGAGTGTGAGACACATGCACCTGGGAGGGCTTAGGACAGTGTCTGTAACAGTCACCACTGGCCCTGGTCTGAGTTCACAGCCAGTTCACAGCTTTAGACATTGCTCAACATCAATTGCAGAGAAGAAGCCAAAGGGACTATGTATCAACCCTCTTTTTTTTCTTTTTTTTTTGATGGGCAATACTTAAGTGCGTGAAAGGCTTGACTAGAAATTAGAAGTTTCAGGATAATTTCTAATTGTAGCCAAAACTGCAAATAATCTGCCCAGCTGTCAAGACACTTCCCTTGATGTGTTTCAGCAGATCTAGTCGGTCAGGTCTGGCCATACCTCTACGTGCTTATTTTGGCTGGTTTCATTTCATTTGCATGTAATATCAAGTAAGCGTACTAACAAAATGATAATTAAATGTTACTTGCCTTGGATTCGTACGTCTCATAGAGCTGCTGCAGTGTTTGTCCCAGAGCACCCTCCGTCATGTTGATGAGGTATTTTCCGAGCTGCCACTGGGGAGCCAGGGTGTCCATGTACATGTATTCCAGCCCCACCAGAGGAATCTCTCCTTTGGTATGTTTCGGCAACTTGTAAAGAGCAAACCTGCAACCATGAAGAGCAAGTGGTTTTTTACAACCATCCTGTTTGAATGTGCAGATCGGTATCTCCATCCCAGCTGAGGAGTTTAGAGAAGGGTGACTCAGGGGGTGCTGCACTGGCGGGGGACCAGCCCCAGGGAGGTGACCCAGCACAGGAACCAGCAGCACCTCGGCAGCACAGCACCCGCTGCAGACAAATTTGCTCTGCTTCTTAGCAAGAAAGGGAGGCTGATGTGGCACCAAACTCCTGCTGCTGTGGCGAGACTGCTGTTGGCACCCCCAAAGAATCTGAGGTAGCCCTGGTTTGGGGTCCTGTTCCGCCACTAAATCCCTCTATTGCTCCTGGTTCTGGTAGAGAACATCAGGTCCCAAACTCAGTCTGACATTCTCATGGTCAACCTGGACATCCTTTACCAATACATTTTTATATTATATAAATGTAACTTTATATGAAATAGGTAAGATTATGTATTAAAATTGTAAAAATGCATAATGTTATATTTATACATATTTAAATCCCCAAAGAAGTATAAAGCCATGTGATATTGTTGTGCCAATCCCACTTTTCATAACAGACTTGCACTCTCCTGAGCTGTGGCAGACTGGATATTTGCAAACAGAAACCATTAGCCAGAAACACAAAATCGTAGAGTACTCAATATTGTCAATAAATGGCTCCGTTCATATTAATGTCCCTGATGAAGTAAACAGGTTTTCCCAGTGCACAAGTCCATGGGATTAATTGCAATATAATTAAGTGAGCCACTTTCTTTGAGTGCTGTACTCAAGTAATTTGTTATTTATGTCAATAGTGAGAACTGAGTGGCATTATTTTCAGTCCTATACTATTTACCAAAAAAAATGCAGCCCGACTGTGCTTAACCTTTCAAGTATATCAGGAGGTGTAAGCCTTTCCCAGTTGATTTACAGTCTAAAGGTGGTCCAAAAAAGGCATCTCTGAAAGGAGGTGAGAAGTGGCAGGAAAGCATTTGCTAGAGGAACATCTAATCTATGGGAAACGTACATGCACAGGCAGAGGAGAAACACATGTTGGTGGTGATCCTGGTAATCCACCAGCATTGCCACTGGCTGAGCCATGTTCCCTAAATATCTCAGGAGAAATTCTTGCTGATGACAGAGAGAGAAGAAAGTGATTTCTACAGGAAGGCTGTGGAGAGCTCTGCGTGCAAGGGGAGTCACAACAATCCCTTGACTTGAAGATTTGGAAAGGAGAGGAATAGCAGGAGTTACAGTATGAGTTAAGTATAAGCTGATCCAGGACTTGGCATGGGAAGCCTTTCCAAACTGCTCTGAAATGTATTGGAAGATTTATGCTCGTGGGGTGTTAACAGCCTCGCACCTGACAAATCCCTGGTAGCAGGTAAGCTTACGGAAATGTGAGCAGTAAGTTGCTTGCCACTTCCCAGTGGATACGTGCTTTGGCCCTTTCCAGAAAGCCAGCTGAGTGTGTTAGCAATTAAAGTTGTATAAAAGTCTTCACTGCTATTTGTGCACAGGAAGTTTCTCAAGAGCTTAGGCATTTGTGGGAGCAGAGGGAAAATTCTTCTCCTGAGAACCAAGGAAAAGCAAATCCGCTTATACCTGATTAGCATTGTCACATTGTTTGCTTGTGACTGAACACTAACTTACTACAAATAATCACACCTTCACTTAATCAGATCTTCACTTCTTCCCTCCCCCGGCAAAAAAATTAAATAAAAGTCATACAATATGCATTCGTGGCTTCAGTCCTTGACTCAACACTTCTCAGAAAGCGGAGTTCTGGCTTTTGTTTGCATGAAAAGCTCCCCACAGAACCCAGTGGGTTTGGATGAATAAAGGAAGGACCCTCTGCCCCCCTCAGGGAGCTGGTCCTGTGGCCATTTGCCCTGGTAGCCCCAGTGTGAGGTGCAGGGAAGAGGGTGGGCTGAGCTCCTGTCTGGAATGAAAACACAGGGAAGCCTTTTGTCAGCCCCGGCACCGTGTGTGGGTGGGTGGGGAGCGCAGGCTCGGCCGGGGAGCGCAGATGGGATCAGGTCAGATAAGGCAAGTGATCCCTCCGGTTCAGTGGCAAATGAAAGGCTGCATGAATACTGAGTAATTATGGAATATTGCAGGATGAAACCACTGAACAGGAGGAACTCACACACAACTCTTGCTAAATGAATATAAAACCTGCAATGCTGTGTTTGTTTCAAAGAGCATTGACATCTTTTGGCTAAGAGGAAGCTTTTCTCAGCAGTTTCAGTTCTGCTTCTCCTATCAGCTTCACAGCAACCAAATCCAGAATCAGGCCAAAGCTGACTATTTCTTGTCAATAAACTTGGGTGACCCCTGCAGATTGGTAAGTTTCTCTTTCATTTGATCATGGCACATTGGAAAGGAAATCCCTCCCCTGTCCTTCCCATACATTTGTCAGAAGGAAGCACAGCTTTGCCTGGGCACACCCCTGAGTTCCCACCTGGAATGGGTCACACACAGAAGCACAGCTGAATGACTCCCAGCCACAGCTTTCAAAGTATTTCTCAGATAATTAAGAAATGAATAGTAAATGTGGTTTTTGGTTTGTTTGTTTGCTTGTTTGTTTGGGGTTTGCTCTCCTTTCTTTTTAGCTTTAGCACAGACTCATTCTGCAAGGAATAATTGCAGTCTGCAGAGAAATGAAATTTCTCCTGCCTGTAAGCCGTTGGGTAGCTGCACCAGCTGCGAGTCTGATTCCTGAAAAAAAAGCGCATTATCCAGGAGGGCCTTGGCAAGGGGGACAAGTCACAGGGGTGGGCCAGACCCTCACACGTTTGATGCTATGCTGGTACAGAGCAAAGCCAGCTTTATGCTCCTGAGCCGCCCGCCTGCGGGGCGAGGGGCTCCTGCCCTCCCTGCAGCTCGCTCCCTGTGTGAGGGAAGGGATATGCAAGAATAGCATCCAGACTAATCATTGTTACATGAGAAAGGCGCTTTTCTTTTGAAACTGGGAGGCTTCCGTGCTCTATTTTAAGATATTATGGATATTATGCAATTATACTTTGCGTCTCTCATCTTCAAAGCGCATTAATCCAATTAATCATTTAATACCCAAACTGGGGCTCGCTGCTGGCCGTGGGATGGCACCAGCTCTCATGTGCCAGCAGCTCTGGTGGTGGGGAAGGACCTCTGCTCCTCAGTCCGAGGGAGCTCTCCCACCCTGCTGTCCCCCCGCAGCGACCCCACCGAGGGGACGAGTGCCACCACGCTGCTGTTGGGGTACAAGTGACAAGGCTAAGGGTGAGACAGAGGCGTTTTCCCTGCTGGGCTCAGTTCCCTCAGGCAGAGGAGCGTGTGCTGGAGCCCTGGCCCGGGCCGGGCGCCCCTGGAGCTGCCTCCGGCGAGCGCAGCCTTGGCACCCGAACACAGGCTGCGCTCCCTTTGATGATGAGACACAAACGCCGGGTGATTATTTTGCAGTTAGTCATAGTGCAGTAAGGTGGTTGGTTCAGTGAAGCGAAATCACATTTCAATAACTTCTCCTAGGTTTTCCAAATGCAAAATTCAGCTGCTATTCCCAGGCAAACAGGATTAGAACAGTGATTGCTATGCATTACTTCCCAGCGAGCCACCTACTTCGTGTGGTTTAATCTCAAGTGTTATTTACTCCCCCGGCGTTTCTCCCCTGCGTGGTATTTACTCACCAGTCGACTTCCTCCCCGTCTTCATTCCTGCAGGAAATCTGGGCTGCCCACAGGGGCGCGGAGCAGAGGAGCAACAGCAAAGCGGGGTGACACCACGCAGATCCCGCGGGCATTTTGGTTTGTCGGCCGCGCAGGGTGAGCACCGAGCAGGGTCTAAAAGGAGAAGTTGTGTTGGAGCAACTGCCAGGTCCTGCTGGCGGGGCAGGGAGCACGGCCCGGGCTGCCCGAGGGGCAGAGCCTGCCGGGGAAGTGGGGTCCCGCTGCAGGGACGGCTGTCGGCAGCAGGGCCAGGGCTCCCGGGAGCTGCTACAAACAGCTCACCGTTTCTTTGGGTGGTAAAATGACAAGTTATGCTTTTGCGATTGTACTTTAGGGGGTAGTATTTTGACTATTTAGAATATTCAAGGTATTCTGCTTTAAAAAAAAAAAAAAAAGCAGCAGATACCGAAACCCTTTTTGTTTTCTTTTTAGTGCTGCATGACTGAAGTATGAATTTTTTTTACAGCTATCTGAAAATACCCTCGGCGTTCAGACATGCAAAAAAATAATCATTTATATCACACTACTTCTCCAGCCAGCCCTAGGAGCGAGCCCAGCCTTTGCACTGCTCCTGCGAGGAGGGTTTCTGGGGCAGCGCTGAGCCCTGGGACCTTCATTTCTCTGTGGGGACTGAGCCCCTGGGGACTGAGCCCACAGGGACTGACAGTCGAAGAAAACCCTCAGATCTCTGAGGCACAGTGATTTACTTACGATTAGTTAATTTTGTTTTTTTTAAATTATCTTTTAAGTGCATTAGCATTTCCCTTGGGAACAAACATGCCTGAATCGAGCAATTTAACATCTGATAATCTTTTAGCAACTCACACATAAAAAGCTTCTATTTATATTTTGGTGTGTAAAATATTCTTTCTCCCTCATCGTTATACTTACGTTAAAAGGTGCTGATTTACATTAAAAGATGTTGACACCGAGTATGGGATATTTCAGCCTCAGGGAAGGTGTAGCTCAATAAGCTCTGGATATTTTAGGATAACAGAAATCCTCATAACCTTCGCATGTGTCTCCTTTCTGGTGGAGCCTCTCCAACACTGTAACAGATGTGCAATCAGGGTGTGTTTGACAGAAGCAGGATAAAACTGAAAAGGGCTCAGTGCAAACGAAACCAAAGATCCCAGAAAGCTGAATTTTGCTGCTCGGATTCGCTTCTGGCCCCTTTTGTGGGAAATCAAAACTGTGACACAGTTGTGAGGAAACGCTTTCAACCAGCCCAGCTCGGTCTAGCCTTTTCTTCTTGCTCTCAGGAACTGCAGCGTTGCATAGAGGGGGTAATAAAACACTCAGCACGCCAAGAAGGTGACAGCTGCTTCCATCTTCTGTTTGGGACTCCTGCCTGCTTGCAAAGCAACCTTCCTGCCCCTCACAGAAGAATTGCTTTGATACTCACCGCCTCCACTTGGGCTTGGAGCATAAAGTCCCTGTGGCCCTGCACGTGTGACGGGGGACAGCCCTGGGGACGTGGAGTGCCTGCTGGGCTCTGCCTGCTGACGGGGGCTCCGTGCAGGATGCTGACCCCGTTTTGCCACCTTCTGCAGGAAAACGGAGAGGGCTGAGCGCATCGCACACATGGAGCGTGACAGCGGCTGTGTGGGCTGCGAGCCAGAGGCGCAGGAGGTGGCCAAGGTCTGTTCTTGGTGCCAGGGAAAACCAGGAGTTGTATCTTGAGAGGCACAGCCCGGCCGGGGAGAGGCAGGAGTGATGAACCAGGAGTTGTATCTTGAGAGGCACAGCCCGGCTGGGTAGAGGCAGGAGAGCGTGGGTGCCATGCTGCCTGCCCTCTGCTCCTGACTGGCTGTGCTGGGACATGCTGGGGGCAGAAAGAGATGATGGAGGGGACACTCAATGAAGGTCTATACGGTCAGGACTAATCCAAAGATGATGAATGAGACAAACTAGTTCACTGTTACTCATGTTATACGATCTGCCCCCCCATAAAATTTTAAAATTCTATCACAACTGCTACTAATGTGGTAATAGGTTCCTGAAGAATAGCTTCCCATCAGGACTTTGCAATTTATAATGAAAATGTTTTCATTATCACAGGTAACCACAGAAATAAAGGCCATAAACATTGTTTATGTTTCATTGACTGGGCATAACTCGGGCTTCCACTGAGTTCTTTTACAACTGTCACGTATTTTCTCTGCAGATCAAGGATATAGAAGTCCTCAACTGCGAATATGGCAAGAACACAATTAAGTTCCTTCGCCTTCATAGAGAAGGGAAGAAGCACTTTGTTAAAGAAGTGGAAGTGTGCACGCATCTCCGGCTGACTTCTGCTCACGAGTACCTGGATGGAAACAACTCTTGTGTGATACCTACAGACACCATAAAGAACATTGTCCTTGTGTTGGCCAAAAAAAATGGGGTATTTTTTATTTTTTTATCTAGCCTTGCTGTTTCTTATGACTTCATTTGGAACTGTTGGTTATACTGACTTTTTATTTTCAAAATGCACTACTGGCACTAAAGTCACCTTCAGTGATTTGGGAGAGAATTTTTCCTCCACCACTGCCTATCCTGCAGACTCCTCCTTAGTTTTCCAAAGCCTTTTTTTTTTCCTCACAGAACTAGCAGTATTTCTTGTAGATTTGTCATATAAGATCCGTCTTTATTTTAAAAAATTTAATAGCGCATAATACTGCATTATTTCTATATAGCATTTTTAAACGCGTCTCCAAGTATGTGAGACTCCCCTTAATTCTCTTCACTGTGCTCTTACCTCCCTCAATTGCATTTATCATAATGACAATCTGTAGTGTAAATTGTCTGTCTCAGTAATGAAATCCCATTTTTAGCCTGTAAAGCTTCATCAGAATATCGCTACGATCATGTCAGCATTATATCCTCAAAGCATAAGGCTTCTGCAGCAGTTTTTCCCAGCCCAAGGACTGCAGGTCGCTACACCACAGAATGGGAGATTTTTGACGTGACTCTACAGCTGCTATTTGCAGCGTGTGCTGAAAGCTGATCAAACGACTAGCCACAGTGCACAAAACCAGAAATGAGAGAAATCTGTATTTTTAACAACATTGATCCTTCCCAAATATTTACAACAATCAGAACAATCTAGTTTTGCACGAGGTAATTGCTTCTTTCTAATAATACCGTTTGCTGTTTTAGATCCCAACTTTAGAACAATTTGCTATAGACATCTGCAGACACTTCATGACTACATTTTGCCAAGTGGCGTTCGTCAAAACCTACATTCAAGAAGTACCATGGCAACGTCTACATGAGGTAGCTAAAATACTGATACATTCCGTTTGTTTACGCTGAAGCCATTTGTCACTCTCTTAGTTCCTGTTTTCAAGTTAAGATAGCCTTCACTGCGCTTTTACTGACATGTCTGCTTTAAATTGCAGAACGGCGTTCCCCACATCCACTCCTTCATATGTGTCCCTGATGGCATCCGCTTTTGTGAAGTTGAGCAGTGCCGGAATGGTGAGAAAAGATTTCGTGACTTCCCCTCCTTCTCTGTAAATATTTCTGCTGATGAGAGACAAAGATGCCTTTAGAGATAGCTGCAGGTGCTACTGGGCTCTAAAACAAAGAATACTTTTATAGCCTCATTTTGCAGTCCTTGATCTCTGAGACATGGCTGAAGAACAAATGTAGCTCACATTTGTACGTATATCCTAAACACACAAGGGTTACAACAGCCCATCCAGCAGAACTGCGATATATTGGCACAGGACTTAATAGGCTTCTGAGAAAGGGCTGCTTAGTTTACACTATATTCTGCAGTCTCACTATTATCATGACCCTATAGAGAATGTATCGTGAGACCACACAGCTATAAGCCAATTGTCTAGTTTGCAGTTATTTTCAAAACCCCATCAACATGCCTTGATTTTATTTCTAAGAAAGATGCCATTTCATTGCTGCAAGCCAGACTGGCTTGAACACTGTGTGCACTCAGGTCTACACACAAGCAATTTTTCACGTGAAAATACTTCATGTAAGCGGGCTTACTATTTTTGCACGCTATGCGTAAACAACGCACCATTTGGCTTCACTAAGAGTTTTGTTTAAAAGACACAGGCTTCCAAGCTCAACTGTCTGTAAACTGGCATTCCAAAGGGAGTATAAAATTATCTCTTCTTGCTATGACTCACAACAAGAGCATGAGTGGTGTTTCATCTAACCCATCTCTCGACCACTAGGAACTGAGTGGAGACCACTGCATTGTTTCACACAGTGGGTTTAGCAGTTTTAGGCATTAATTCAATATCTATCTATTACTGCCCTAATGAAACTTGGAACGATTTCCCGTCCTACCCTGTCTCCCTGTTTGTCTCACGTGTGAGGGTTAGGACCAGAGGCAAGACCAGTGTCACTTGCAGACAGGACACAAGTTCTGCAAGGCGCGTTTGAGCGTGATCCCTGTGTTCTGCTGCAGAAGAGGGAGAGCCTGTACAATTTGGCAGTGCCTCTGGGCCTAATCCTTTTTAGTGTTCCTAGTAATATTAGCTACTGCTGTATGTGGGTTTAGCAGTTTTAGGCATTAATTCAATATCTATCTATTACTGCCCTAATGAAACTTGGAACGATTTCCCGTCCTACCCTGTCTCCCTGTTTGTCTCACGTGTGAGGGTTAGGACCAGAGGCAAGACCAGTGTCACTTGCAGACAGGACACAAGTTCTGCAAGGCGCGTTTGAGCGTGATCCCTGTGTTCTGCTGCAGAAGAGGGAGAGCCTGTACAATTTGGCAGTGCCTCTGGGCCTAATCCTTTTTAGTGTTCCTAGTAATATTAGCTACTGCTGTATTTTTGGTGGCCTCGATAGTATTGACTTCAGTTTCTGGAAAATGTTAAGAAAGAAACCTGAATTAAAAAAAATAATAAAGAAAAAGAGTTTATGCTTTCTTGAAAAGCTGCTGCTCTTAAAGTACAGATTGAATTAAATTTTTCATCATCTTGAAAATTCAGCGTGAAATTCTGCAATTTGAGATTCTAGACAAACAAAAAGCCTTTAAGGCTTACTGAAGAAACTGCCGTTCCTTCTCAGTCTTCCTTTCATGTAGCCCTTCAGCTGTGTCTTTAGGATTCCCTGCCTAGGTGAGCAATAGCCAATGAGAAGATTTTCAAATCCCTTTTATTTTTCTTATAAGAGAACCTTCTCTATCTTTAGCATCCTCCTATGCACTTATCAGCCAGACACAGAAATGTATTTCTTAGTTAATCCTATCTTTAAACACTTTCCTCATCGTTAAAAGGAACCTAGTGAGGCTTAATAGAATTACAGGCTTATTTTTTGCCATTATATCAGCTGATAAAAGGCTCAGAGGTTTTCAGAAACTGAAAACACCACAAGCAATTTAACAGAGTCAACATTTGACAACTGAAGGGAGAACAAGCACAAAAGGTACTGAAAGCACAGCAGAGGCTGTTCACCTCAAAAACTTTGCCAAGGCGTTATATTCTTCAGTGCAAGTCTCAGGTCGATGGCACACAGCCAGGCAGCCAGCCAGACTTTCAGTAAATCATTCGTCGCGAGGAGCTCTTTCAAACAAGGCTGTGTATTTGAATATCAGATAATAAACCAAGGCTCACTGATAGTATCTGCACTCCGTTAATACCTGTGTATTACAATCTTACACGCAAGCAATAAATTCAAAGAATCATAGAATGGTTCGAGTTGGAAGGGACCTTAAAGCTCATCCAGTTCCAACCCTCCTGCCATGGGCAGGGACACCTCCCACTAGAGCAGGTTGCTCAACGCCCCATCCAGCCTGGCCTTGAACACCTCCAGGGATGGGGCATCCACAAGTGCCCTGGGCAACCTGCTCCAGGGTCTCACCACCCTCACAGTAAAGAATTTCTTCCTAATATCTAACCTAAAACATTTAAAACTGTTACCCTTTGTCCTATCGCTCCACTCCCTGATAAAGAGTCCCCCCCCATCTCTCCTGTAGCCCCCTTTAGGTACTGGAAGGCTGCTACAAGGTCTCCCCAGAGCCTTCTCTTCCCCAGGTTGAAGAACCCCAACTCTCTCATCAAGAGAGAATAAATTCATCAAGGTCTGAACAAACACCAGAATATCCTGTCCAAGGATAGTCTCTTCTTTAGATATTTTTTAAAGCTTTAGTAAATAACAGGGGCATGTAGCCAAAATTATAGATATACCTCCTTGGACTCATTCAAAACCAATAATGAATGTAAACAAGAGAAGAAATTGATAAAATGCAGTTCTTATAAATTTCCAGCGACAAAGCAGTTTAAAAACAACAAACCTCTAAACAATCATGTTGTTTAGAAATATCCATCACAGCGCAATCATTTTCAATATAAATTCCTGCAAAGACACAGTTTAAAGTCAAAGTCTGTCAGTCTTCCCAGTCCAAGGCAGGATTACTGTGCACCAGACATATTCAAGGATTAATTTTGAACTAGCCAACGTGAGCACCAAGAGCAGCACAGAAACAGCAGCTGGGGCTTCATCCGCTATCTCTACAGGCTGTGAATAAGCCTGTGTGCCATAAAGTTCCTCTTTACTGAATTTACTTTTTAGGCAGCTCCAGTCAGTGAAATTTTCAGTTATCAGCTTAGTGTGCTCTAAATGACTGACCGTTTGAAATTGCTTAGCCGCCATCCAAAAGGTTTGTCAAAATAAAAAGTTCAGGACACAACTGTTTGGCCTTCAGAAGATGAAAATCCACCCATGCAGCAGTGACCTACAACAGCACACTTTATAAATAGTGGCTGAGAGCAAAAACACTGTCAGTTTGAACCTGTGGGTGGCATCTGTATCAGTGCCAGTTCCTGCTAATTAGCTGAACTGCAGGGATTTGCATTGGCTCCTCGCCCTCTCCTTCTCACAGATGCAAAACTCACAACAGGATGGGTATGTAAAGCTAATTTCTGATTGAGGCTCCAAGTCTTTGTGCAGAGCTTCCACACTCATCTAAGTTGTTAGAAAAAGCTCAGCACACCTCTCCCGTACACTGCAGCACTACTAGCCTATTTATTTTCCCTTTAGAGCAATTAGTAGTCCCTGAACTGACATCAGTGAGAGCCAACCCAAGGCATCTCCCAGCTCCAAGAAGGTGAGATAAAGGGTGTCCTCAGCTCTCCTTGACTGCAGCTGACTTGATAGAACTGTTTTCTAGGCTGAGCTCTGATTTCAGTAGTTTCTGTCTTGTTTCTTACCTTTCTGCTAACATCAGTGTGCAGAAAATAATTTTTAGAAGTAGTTAGGCTTGCAACAGAAGCAGACGAGTGAGTCCTGGAGAGACTGCTTCACAGCTCTGGAGCTGTCACTGCATGTAGGCACCCAGAGGTTTCTTCCTCTCTGCCTGAAAAGGAGCTCATAGTGTCTCATATTTTTGGATTACAGGTCCTCTGGTTGTTTTTGCTGGAATTAAAGATCTGAAACTTATGAAGACAACACAGTCTGGATTTGAAGGCTTCTATAAGAACGAACACACCACACTTCCTGAAAGGAACGACAGGATTTTATGTGGAGAGCTCTTCTGCAAATGGTCATATGGCGAATGCAAGGATTTTGACTTTGACTGCACATGGTATACATCAAATCAAATAATATTTATTACCTAATCTATGATCCCAAAGCCCCTCTGTACAGCGGGTGTAAGGGCCAGATCTGCAGTTGCTGTGCACCAGCCAGGCACAGATCTCAGTGGGGGCACCGAGCACTTGTTCCAGGGACAAGAGGCAGGTGCTGGGGGGTACTCCCCTCTCTGATGGTGCATCAAGGGGTGGCCTTTAAACGGACAGTTCAGTGTTCAGCCCAGAACACTTTGGAAGAACAAACAATTAATTTGTTAAATACTTTTAGCAAAACACCAATTTGTGAATTATAGAGCCGGGGGGTGGGGTGGGTGGAATTTGGAGGTTACAGGACAAAGAAATTGTTCTTCCATAAAATCAGAAAAGACAGAAAATAAAATAAAAAACCTAACCCCACAGTAAAACATTATGGATCTGGACAGAGACAGCTGATACAAGGCTTTGTAAGAACCTCTCTTACCTCTAGGAACAAAATCCGTGAATGCATCCTGGAAGCCTTTACTGGTCCACCTGACTGTGGGGAATATTCACCCTCTTACCAGAAAACTGTCAACACTATCCAGATGTGCGTCCTTTCCAAAGTGCCACAGGTATCTTCTTCCCTCCTACTGGTGTTTTACTTCAACAATAACGAATATTAATAGGACCACTGAGAAGACCAAAATGAGCTTATTATTTCCTCTGGGAGTTGTAAGTGAGGCTGGACACTGGTGGTATAGCTAGATGGTCTGAAAAAACCACAGACACACTGAGGAGTTCATATGCTGCTCCCCAGCTGTGAACACAGTGGAGGAGAATATCACTCAGTGCTTGGCAGGACATGAGTAAAAGTGAAGGGAGTGCTACAACATTGCCAACATGTTCAATAAATTGCATTTGATCAACTGTACATATTGAGGGGGGAGAGTGTGAGGGGATTGTGTGTTGGCTGAAAAGTTCCCCTGATTCATTATCTCATCCATTTTCATGGTTTCAGGTACAGATCATAGAAACCGTCTTGAACAACACTTTTTATAATGTTGTAGACATGAAGAATCTGGGCCTGACCAACGACAAAGAAGTAAGTAAATGCTCCAAACACAACCTGCCTGGACTCTTTAGATAAAAACACTCAGCCTTTAAGCATAGCTACAGTTCTGCGTAGAACAGTTAAAGGGAGAAAACTTTCTCTCCCCCAGCCCCAGTGAAAGCTCCACTCCAGCTCTAAAAAAGACTTAAATTGATTACAGAAGAAGGATAATTGCCAGCTTGTGCTGTTGACAAAAGCTAGAGGAGCACCGTGGAACGCTTTAGAGATCAAAAGGATCTGTAAAAGAGACTATAATGTCAGCCTGTGTGGTTTTAACCAAGCAGAATGCCTCTCAGCATCCTTTCACACAGCCAGGTAGTGTGAAAAGTGAGCCCACTGTGGGCAGGGAGCAGCCTTGGTGCAGTGGGGTTACAAGTCGGGTAGCAAAGCCGTAGAGTAACCCTAGTGACAGAAGACAGTGCTCTTAGGGAGCCATTGGGAGCCAAAGCAGATGGGTCCAACAGCGGACAGGGAATAAGCCTGGGATCAGGCAGAGGGTGAGAGATGTAGGGGATGAGGTACATTTGCTCCTCCCTCCACAGCTGCTCTAGCTGACAGACAGGTCCAGCTGAGGGTCTGTTATCTGCACGTGATAAAGTGGGTTATTCCATTTTGTATCAATGGTCTATAGTCTGTTTATGCTCTGATCTCCCTCCCTAAGCCTTGTGATTCTGCTGCCATCCTATCCTACCCTTGTCCTCTTTCCGGTGGACATTATAGATCCACTTCCAACTAAGATAACAGCAACATCTACCATTGATGTTCATAAGAGAAGGAAAAGACCTGGGTGTGACGTTATGAGGAGGTGAATAGGCAGTTTCTGCTGCGATGGTGCTGGCACAGCCCCGTCTCAGAAATGACCCCTGTGTTTGTGCTTATTCCCCTCAGGTTCTGGTTCCAGTGGAAACTCCCTATGGCTCCTGCGCTTGCACGCTTGGCAGGAAGAAGTTCTTAGAAGCACAAGGCCATGTGCTAAAAGATGAGAGGCAAAGTCAGTTTGGACTGGCAGCTGCCCAGGGAAACTAAACCTCTTGGCTACACTCACACCTGCCTGATAGACTTAACAGCATGGCTTTCCTATCAACGTGTACCCCTTATTGGCTTCTTCCATCACTGACTACTTTTCCCTCTATGAACTCCTGAGGTTGGGATTTCTGAAGGAGCCTCAGGAATTCAGAAACCAAAGTCTATCCTAGAATCTCAGTGTGATTTGCAGATTGAAATCCCCTATGCTCTTTTGAAAATCCCAGATGGAAACATTATAGTAAATTAATTTATAAACCAGCTATTCTCAGATCTCTTAATGAAACAATTAATTTGATAATGTCTGGAACATGTTTTGACATGTAAAATCAGCAACTCTGTATATTCTATTTATTAATGTTCCTTCAGTAAAATGAATATGCAGGCACGAGACCAGATCTTTCACTGACATAACCTGTTACGACCCCTTGATGCCACACTGACCTACGGAGCTGAGGTTCTGACCCAGTAGCTGAATAGGGAATCAGTCAGACGCTGACTTCTTCTTGGCTACACTCACACCTGCCTGATAGACTTAACAGCATGGCTTTCCTATCAACGTGTACCCCTTATTGGCTTCTTCCATCACTGACTACTTTTCCCTCTATGAACTCCTGAGGTTGGGATTTCTGAAGGAGCCTCAGGAATTCAGAAACCAAAGTCTATCCTAGAATCTCAGTGTGATTTGCAGATTGAAATCCCCTATGCTCTTTTGAAAATCCCAGATGGAAACATTATAGTAAATTAATTTATAAACCAGCTATTCTCAGATCTCTTAATGAAACAATTAATTTGATAATGTCTGGAACATGTTTTGACATGTAAAATCAGCAACTCTGTATATTCTATTTATTAATGTTCCTTCAGTAAAATGAATATGCAGGCACGAGACCAGATCTTTCACTGACATAACCTGTTACGACCCCTTGATGCCACACTGACCTACGGAGCTGAGGTTCTGACCCAGTAGCTGAATAGGGAATCAGTCGGACGCTGACTTCTTTATAAGGAAATGAAAAAAGAAAAAAAAATAATCTCTCATATCTCCTTTGTGGTGTGAATAGCTACAGGTGTTGACTAATTTCTCTGCATGTATTCTGACTGCATGGCTGCTGCTGCTACTCATCAAACTATACAGTTACTATATAATTACTTTTATATTAATCACTGAGGTGTTTGAGGTTTTGGGCTATCTCTGTAAGTTTAATTAAATAGTTTTCTTTAGTCGAATAATCTCATAATGACTTCTGAGCAGGCAGGAGTCAACCTAAGTAACCCTGTTATTCTTGGGAGGGGTAGGGAGAAAGCTAGACAGACAGACAGACAGACAATGCAGATCTTACTGTAGTTACCCCAAGTGAGAGCTTTGAACATAGAGATAAAACTATAGAGCCAACAAATCTCATCTGGCAAACTGCGGCTACCACATTTGCAACAGAAATCCTGCTCAGCAACTGACAGCTTCTACCTGCTGCTCTCATCTTCCCTGAGCACCACTCCCCCAGAGCGCAAATCCAATGGGAAGTGCCCAAAGTCACTTCTGAAAACTGCAATTCGGTTGCCTTTGCGCCTTCCGAATTTGGCCGACCTACAGCACCCCTCTGGGTACAATCATTAAACTCAGAGGCACCAAAAATGAGGAACATGTCCTGCTCCTGTGACATTTTGAGGGGCTTTGCACGATAGGAACTTGCCTTGGTGAGCAGGACGTAACAGATGCGAAGGGAAGACGCTGTTCAAAAGCCTGAGACATCTCCTGAAAACCACAGGACAAACGACACCGCAGAATGAAGCTGTCCCAGATAACGCTGCTCTCTGGTCACTAGCCAATCCTGAAAGTTTTATTTACAACACTTTTAGCTTTTACTGGGGACATTCTCTCTTACCTTGTTAGATTGTGTTGTACTGTACTTGTGGGCTTATGTCTTGCTATTTCTGCCATTTATAGGTGCTTCTAATTTATTAATGTATCTCTTAAGGGCAAATAAAGAGCAACATCAAAAAAACCTACCTAGTATTTGACTATTTACCAAATAAGAAATGAAATAATTTACAACTTACATATAAATGCAAACACTGGAAGTAAAAGCAACATGTTTTAGTTCAGCCAATTCTACTTCAAAAAGTCACCAGTCTTGTTCCAAATGACAGTTCACTGCGAGTAAATGAAAAAGGATCTTATGGAACATTTCAGCATTTACCTCTTTCTAAACAAGACAGATCTCACAACCCACTTCTTTTCTACCCTTATGAGAAATTTACTGTGTTAGTCTGAAGGTTTCCTTTGTTACTATTTGTGCTTCATTTGTGGGCTTGTAAGGTAGTAGCGGACTAACCCCCATGGCAGAATGAGGACAGAAAGCAGCAGACAATTGTTTATTTAGATTTTCCTGTGGCAACAAGCACACATGGACACTCACGCAATGGTGGTTCTATAAACCTCCACAGATGCAGAGACATTCAGCAAATCTTTAAAGGCAACTCAGCACAGCTCCATCCAGCACTGCAAACCTGAGTCACTTACGTGGGCAGATAGGAAGAAGCCCAAATTTTCCACATAGCAATTAGATTCAGATAACAATGGCATAAATCATTCCTGAAAATGGGACCTAGCCAGACTGACTTGGGCCTGAAACCTGACCAAATTCCCATTGGTTTCACTACATTCAGTCTCCATGATGGACTTGCATTATTTTAATTGAAAAAGATTTTTTTTCAGTTCCTGTCCTGAGCAGCTATTGGAGTTGCTCACTGTGTTCTACTCAGAGGCAGCTGTGATACTTTGCTGATGAAATCACACTTGATGAACATAAGCATCAGCTGGCAGATTGTAAAATTGCTATTTAAAATAAATCTTCTCACTCATAACATGAACCTTGCTGATCCTGGGTTATATCCCCAAAGTTTACAGAGCCTGGAGCCTTCTACCAAGAAACAGGGTATTTCAAGTGCACAAACATCTTACTGTCATTTTGGCGTCTGCTTCTTTCACATCCTGTTTCTGTTCAATTTTGATAGCTGCCCAGGACAGTCCAACCACAGCTCTCCCCAGCTGCTGATTATACTCCATGTGCAACCAGCGTCACACAGGTGAAAGACACAAGCTAAACTCATTAGCCAGTATCTAAAACAGAGATGAAATGTCACCCTCAGGGTCAGTACAAGTCATCTGTCTTCACTGGCTGTATTATCCTATATACATTCAGACTGCCTGCTTTCCAACATACCTTTAAACCTGTCAGTTTTTATTAACTATTACAGCTACTTTTTTTTTTTCTTCCTTAAATTTGCCTTTTTGTTTTTATTTTAATCTTGCTTTTATCAGGAATACAGAACCCTGATTCTAAGTTGAACCGAGCAGACTTAAAGTGAATAAAAAAAATCCCTTTCCAGCTAGAAATCTCTATATAAATACTTTTGAAGTTAAAATCACACTATTTGTATACATACAACAGCCAGCCATCTTCATCCTGGAAAGTGCACAGCTGTATCTAGAAAGGAAAATTATTAAATGTCTCCAGTTATAGGATCAAAAACGTCAATTCACATCTCAGCTATAAGTAGGATATAAACTGTTTTCTGATTCTGATTACCATTCACAGCAGGCTGAGACATAAAAGACATGCACATGTACCTGAGTGCATGCACACACACCTGGTCCCATAAGCATACATACATATATCAAGAAATATATGTATAAATGACTGATCTATGGCAATCAAACTAGAAAGAACATGAGCTGGCGTTAGTGGTTACACAGTTTTATTCCAGAGTTTCAGACTCTCAGTGGCACTGAGTTGAAGCCTGCCATGTTCCCTTCAAGATCCATCCCAAATTACCTGCCAGGACAGCAGTTCACCTCTGCCAGGCTCACAAAACCAGAAGTGGGGGAGAGAGCCAGGGAAGGGGCACATGCCCTATGGCTGCCTGCCAGGGAGAGCTGGAGGACTTCATGGGCCTGGGAGGCAGAAGCAAAGGTAACCATTCAGTCCCATTAGCTGACCACAGCGGGTCAGGCACTGCTGCAAGTCAATGGCTGCCCATAGGAACAGGTATTTGTAGCCCAGATCCTGATGGATGGAGATGCACGGGGAGCCAGTCTGGAATGGCAACATAAGGTAACAGAGGCAAGAGAGACTAGAAGATAAGCAGGAAAGGTGGAGGGAAGGAAAAAGGAGGGAGAAATACAGCGATAGTAAAACACATCAGGCAAATCAAAGACGAGAGAGAACAGGAAATAAAATAAGTAAATCAGTGATCACAAGTATCTCGCCTATCTGGCTACTTCAGAGCTGAAAACAAAACCCCAAACCAAACAATATGAGGGACTCAAAACTAGAAAAATAGTGGGGTAGAAAAGCCTTTGGTGCGGAGGGAAACGTAAGTGCAAAAACCAGAGTGCCTGAGTACTGAGGGACGCTTCTGCCACCTCTCAAGAGTGGCAGCAATTCCCACATAAACATCCACATCTGACTGGAAAAGACAAGAATTCAAGTTTCAGTGGCCTTGTACTCCTGCAATGTTTCCAAATCTTCTAGATTACACATATTTACAGATAAAGAAGCCCAGGCAAACTGGCATGTGGTATTTATACCGACTGGAGGAGGGAGCAGAAGAGGAGTATCCTTGCGAAACGGCTGCTACACCCAGGCACACACCCGCTTCCACACTTCTCACTGGGGTTTGGCCACCAGCTTGGAAACAAACTCAGCTGCAAGTTCCTTGCTCTTTACTTCCTCCTGCTGCAATCCACCAGTACAAGACAAAGCAATGCTACTCTTGAATCGGAGATCAGTGCAAATGATGAGCCTTCCCTTCCTTTTTTGATACAATTTAGCTGCTACGAAGTCAGGGGCATCCTCAACGTACCAAGTACTGCAGAGTGTTTATAGAGGGGCAGCTGGATTATAGCAATCATCTGAAAAAGGGAAGAGAACATCTTGAGATGAGTGCAAGCCTGCCGATGCCAAGACATTTGTGGTTGCCTTATCAGCAGATCAGCTGATGACACAGCAGTTACAGCTGCTGATTCTTCCTTTAACAGAGACCTCACGAGTGCAGCGTATAAACACAACAGTGCTCTCCAGTACTCACCAGCAGCCTTCAGCAGCAATGAAACTCTCACATGGAGACCAAAGGCCACTTACAGTCTTCATGGTGCTCCTCCTGGGCTCTCCAGGTGTTTGAGGTTACAGTTGCATTCCCCAAATTTACACTATCAATAGTGTAATAACTCCTGTTATTCTGGGAGTAAGTTGGATACACATCTGGGATCCAAAGGAACATCACTAAATGAAACAACTCCCCAGTTATATGGGCTAAGTGAAAAATAACTTAATGACCTTATTACACTATCATATTAAAAAGAACGCAGCCTTTCCCAACAGGAATGAAAGCTACTTATTAAATCAGTCTGCCCATTATTCCAATGGAGACTGCCCTTGCAGGCTGCCACTGGGCTAACGACTGCCACTGCCCTCTGCATCTCCCCCGGGAAGCTGCTGCCAAAACTGAGCAATGCAGAGGTGAAGGCGTATGGAAGCCTTCAGTGTGATGGAACAAGTCATGGGTGGGCTCTCCTGACTGACACCCCCAAGCACCAAGTCCTCTCATTCTGTTCGATGAAGCAGAAGCCAATCCATTGCCTGGGTATATTGTCCCTGAGGAGAAGGTGAGAAAGTAGAGCAGACCCTTCTGCATTCATCCTGCTGCCTACTGAGCCAGTGATGGTTACACTGGTCACACACACATTTACAGTCAATTGATTTCCCACATGACTTTTGGGCCAAACCCCACTCCTGTAAGGGAAGGAACTGATGTTCTGACTTGGAAGTAAAGAATCAGAGCGGAGACAAAGTGAAATAATGTTTTTTTGGTCCAGTTCAGACTCAGCCTTCAAATTTTAGACAATATTGCCATAAAAAAAAAAAAGAAGAGTGTCGAAGAAAACAGACCATTTAAATGCTGATTTTTAAAAAGATGAAGAGGTTAAAGGACTTGGCAGAATTTGAACATGTTGAAAAACGCAGTTAAAAGAGAGAAGAGTTCATGTAGCAAGTAATCACTGACAGTGAGGGCCTAATGTGACATTTTGCCTGGGCCATTTCTAACCAGGAGTGATGCGTGGGTGGCTACTGCCTTTGCTACAGCTGCCGAGTCTTGTCCTATAGGAGCAGAGAATTTTCTACAAATTGATAAAGTATAGCACATTAGAGCAAACTGTTTTGAAGGGAACAATAACACACAGGGATGGGAGATATCAACAAGCAGACAGAATAATTTTCTCCAGGTTGAGAAAGTGACCTTGGAGAACAGGCAGAGCCACAGCCTCCACACTTTGACAATAATGGCCTTATATGTGCTTTATGTGTGGTACTTGGCACTATATGTGGATGCAAAGAGAACACGCTATGCATTGTGTATCCACAGCTTGAGAGGAAAGCGAACATCAGAGCTGATGAACAATACCAATATATATTGCAAAACCATCATACCAAAAAAAGGCATACTGTAATGATTTTAAATAATTGTTCAAAGTGCTATGAGAGATTTTAATAGACGTGCACTAGTGGTATTATAAAAAGGGTAAGAGGAGTCGCAGGGAAGAGGAGGACCTCGGCTGCAGCACGTCTCCGTGCCCCTGCTGAGTGGCAGCAGAGCAGGGGAGCTGGCTGCTGCTTTGCTCCTTCAGGCTGCCTCCAGGGGAGCGAGGCCACTCTCTAAATCAGTGCTTCAGTCTGAAAGCAAGGAGACCTACAGCACCGGGACCATCCCCACCCTCAAACCCAGCGTCAGCTGAGCAGTGGGACACCTGGCAGCTTAATCACCACCCCAGGCACAGGGAGGGCTTTTAAGGAAGATGGACTCCCCTGGCTGCAGGCACATTAAGGGCATGTTATAAACTGGATTCCTGCATAGCTCTGTGACTCGCAGAAATGCAGTATTGACATGGTATCCTGTAATGCCCATCAGTCACTTCCTCATCTCAACAGCAGCTGTGTTTTCTGCAAGAGGAATGGTAGCTAAAAATAATCTGGCTTTTACTTCCTCTTTCAAACCCTTCAGTCTCTTTTAAAAAGAGGTTTTTTTTGTTCTCCCAGGAACAGTAAGGAGAATGTAACAGACAAATCCAGAAGGGTCACCTGCACAAAGAGAACAGCAACATTAGAAAACTCAGAGAACAGTAGGAAATTACAATAAAGATCAGGGATAGTAAAAAAAATTGTTACAGTTCTGAGCAACATCCTCCAAATTCCCTTTCACTCTTGCAGCGAGGTTTCTGTTAGGTCTCTACTTGTATGAGCCAGTTAGTGGTGCTGATCAAAAGGGGAATATAATCTGGATGTTTCTGAATACATTTGCTCATTAAAACATATTAAAAAAAATGAACAGTGCTCAATAATCACCAAATGTGCTCTCATGGCTGCACAGTGGAGATTTTTACTCCCTCATGGAATAAATATGTTTTATTTAGAATTAATTCTGTGTCATCCATAGATCTACAAAACATGTCAATCCCACCCCAAACATGCAAATGGAGAAAAAGAGAATATTCAATTCATCCTTCAGTAACATAGCACTATGTATTCTCCTCCAACAATAATTCTACAAATACAGGGTTGGTAGGCATCTCCAGACTGCACTACATGCAGCTGCTTTACATAATCCTTTTCATAAACATACCTAATTCTATATGAAAATACTTAAGAGTTTCATGTCTAATTTTTCAATTGTAGCCTATAATTAGCCTGATACAGACTGTACCTGAAAACCCCCTGAGGCAGAGACAATGCTCTCAATTTGAATCTAGTCTTCCAGAAGATCCCTACTCCCAGTAGGCATCTCTGGACACTACCAAACTATAAATAAAATCGTAAACAGAATTCAGACTGTGACTTACAAACCTGCTGCTAACCGACCCATACCTGAAGTGAGCACAGGGCAAGGCACAGAAAGAGAAATGGTAAATACTTCCCCATCTCCTATTATGCATCTCAGATTCCAAATAAATATGTTGTACAATGTAAAGGTTAGAAAGTATACAAGAAAGCATGCTGCTGTATATAGTTTATGTATTATACCATATGCTGTGAGCTTTACCTACAGCATAGCTATTAACGTGGCTTTATCCCTTCTCAAATCTCACCACCAGAAACCACCAGCAACTCTCCTAGCACTGCAGCATCAACAGCCACCTCGCAGTTGGCCAAATCACAAGTAAAGGCAGGGCCACCAACTAGGTAGGAGATTACATGGGAGCTTCTCCCTCCTCTGCCTGAATCCTGTCCCCACTTGATGGAAAGCACCACACTCTTACCTTCTCCCTTCTCAGCTGTAGCCCCTCACCATTTCCACTTTCACTACACTCTCCTGCTTATTGCCTATTTCCCTGGTTCCTCTGCTCAGCCCCCACAGATGCAACCCCACATCCCAATGCCAGGGGTCATCACAAAGCTCTCTGGGCCAGAGAAGGTGGTGAGCCCAGAGAGCGCTTAGCAGAGAGAGCAGAGAGTGTGGGCTCTCTCCCAGGCGCTGGGCCAGAGAAGGTGGTGAGCCCAGAGAGTGCTTAGCACCACGTGTGGGCTCTCTCCCAGGCATTCTGGGGTAAATCACCCTGCTGTTCTGGGGTAAATCACCCTGCTGTCCTGGGCCAGCGCGGTGCCTCTGTGCCACTGACAGCTCCAGGAAGGGATAAGAGAAGCACAGGTGTTACTGGTGTACTGTGGCCAGGGCTTCTCCTTCAGTGGGATATACACTAGGTAAGAAAAAGCAAAAATAATCAAATCTTTTAATATCTTGGTAGGTGATGTTAAAAGCAATCGCAAGAACGTAGAATATTAAGTAGGTTTTGGTACCTTTTTAATGGAAAAATGGGGAAAAATAGGAGCTCCAATATACCACAACAAAGAAACACAGGAAGTAAAAGATTTGTCAAATAAACTGAATCCAAACATAAGCAATGCTTTATTGGGATATAGCAAGCAACCTATCAAATAGGGAACTGGTACAAACAGATTGAACAAGACTCTCTTTTAACAGAGATGTATGGTGACGAGACAGCTTCTTTCAGTTTTTAAAACAAGTATTCAAACCATTAAGTAAAGCATTAAAAAAAAATCAACCATTACAACACCAACGACAGACAATATTAAAAATGTGCAGAATTTTACTCTTTTTACAAATTTCTGCATAATATTAGAAAACAAGTTATAAATTAAAAAAAGGAATAAAATGAAGCTTTTTTTGCTTTGCAAAGCAACACAAACTTTTAAAAAAACAACTGTACTTTACACAGGACTACTATTAAAAACAGGTGAAAACAAGCTGAAAATTTAAAATACAGCAAAAAATACACAACCCAGTTTCACCTGTCAGCAACACCTTCTGCTATCGAAGGGGTTATGTTAGTTGTAGCTTTAAACATTGCAGCATATCATGAGTAAACCTTAATAAGGTCAAAATAGGACCCTCTGCAAAAAAGGGTGAGTTGGCAAGTATCAGTCCCATCCTAAAATTATAAGTAGCAATAATTTTAGTAGGTCTTTAGTGTAAACCAAAACCTACTTGAATTGGTTTCTCTCTCCCAAAGATGCACATAAACTTCATTTGGGTGGAGGTTTTGGGTTTTTTTTGGTATTTTAAGTCATGAAATCAAGAACATGTCTGGCTCAAAAATGAGAATGACATAGCTCCCTTTTGTTCTGGGTACAGTGATGTAGCTATCTCAACATGCTCATTGACACTTCCTAAAAGAGAAAATCATTATGTACTATTTAAAAAATACACACTACCTCTCTCAATTCAGACTCAGTATATAGTATATTGCCAACTCTATCCAATAGGATATATAATGTAATTTGGTTTATATTCTTAATAGATATATTCTCTCTTTACAAAGTTCCATCACATGAAACCAAATTGCTTATTTTTGCAATTGTTTGAGGCACAACATGACCCCAATTAGACAATTCACTATAAAGAGCTGTTCTTTAGATGTTGTGTCTGTAGAGGTTTTACGTGATATTCATAGATTTTCAGCGCAGGCCCCAGTTTTAATGAAAGTCCAGTCAGTACATCATTCCTTGTCATCAACAGTAATGATTTGCCATCAATTTCCTATAAGAAGAATTGATAAAGAGTTGATAAACACAAATGTATGATCTAACAGATGAGAACAGTCATGCAACAAATGGAAGACTACTACAGAGCATCCATGGGAAAAGAAATAGTAGCCTTTATTTTCCAGAAACTATGTTCGTAGCTGCTAAATTCTGCTGTCTGCTTTTCAAGTGCTCACCTGTCCTAAGACATAAAGATTATTTAGCCAAACACAAAACCCAAATGAGCCTTATTTCAAAACTCCCTCCTTGTAAATCTGTTTCAAATTAATAGGTACATGTACAGATGCCTAATTATCAGCCATTAAGGGAAGGATAGTCTTAAGAAGGAGGTTTATGAAGTGCATTTCAGAAGAATTACCATTGACAGCGATATGCAAGTTTGAACTAGTCAGTATCTGCTAATAACTTCAGTTGCCTTCTTAAAAGGCCAATCTTCCCATGCGTCCTGTAGGGAGAAGAAAAGAAAAAAAAAAAAAAAAAAAAAAAAAAAAAAGACTCCTGCAATCAGAAGTTTTAGACGGGCCTGTGGAGCTCAACACTCTGAGGGAACTTCTTTTCCTCCACCTACAATGAAAGAGGCGAAGAGCAGCAACTTCCAGCTTAAGTCTCAAAACCTCCTACTTGTTCCTGCTTAAAAGTCCCTCTTTTAAATCACAGATATGTTGTGGTTTGATTTTTCTTTTCTCTGAAAATTTGGCTTTCTGATCTATTGAGATTAGAAAACCTGTAGGCCTTGGCACTTTTTCCACCTCAAAACCTTGTCGTATGTTTGAAAACTACTTGTAAATGATATTTCAAAGGTTAAAATGGAAGAGAAAGAATCCACATCTCTCAACCGCCATCTCCATTTCAGACATGGAGCCATCCTTTTCTTACACATTCCTACAGTTCAATCACATTGCACTACTCAGGAAACAGGAGCTACAGCTACACAACAATGCATTGACTGGTGTCTCACAACACAGTCAGACCTCTAAAGGTCATCATAGCCCAAAGAAGCATATAGCCTTATGGTGTTCTTCTGCACCAGACTTCACTCTGCTGTTGCATTCTTTTTTACTTTCAATTAAAAAAAAAACTATTAAATGTTGAATTTGTTATCAACAGTCAACAAGTAGTTCAAATGCTTGCATATATTGTTGTTTTCCATGATAAAATATTACCAAAATTTTGTATTTTTATAAATATTATAAACAACACACATTAATTTATCCCACTGCAGCACCTTCCTTAGAAATACTAATTGTTGTCTTGGAAATGTCAGAGATCCCATCCTTGATTACAACTCAACATGAAAAGAGGAAGACTTATATTAGAGTTCAGCATGAATTTGTCAAGACAGATCTCTCTTATGATTTGATAAAGTTTATAAATACAAACACAAACCACAACATAGTCAAGGATCAGCTGAAAGTGGAATTTCTTTAAAATCTCCCCAAATGATATGACTGCTAATCGCTCAGAGGCTTGCAATGTAACAGTATTTCTAAAATAAAAGAAGTTTCCAATATTCTTTTACCCAATTATAGCAGGTGTCTTTCCGATTTCTGTTGAGAATGTTAATGATTAAAACCAGTTTCTATCCTCTCTTTTGCATTCGTCACAACTCTTTCTGTGGGCATTTTGACACCACTGAGTACTTTGCTCTTTGCTATGACCGATCTAAAATTGCCTTCAACGATGCTATGGAGGAAGAACAGCCTCCAGCTTGGTAGGATCCAAATGAAGTAAATCCTTTACCTGGAGCAGGAGAGACTCAAAGAATAGGAAAAAAGCATCTGTTCCTTTCCCTTCCTCTTCTTCCACACAGTTCCCCAGGGATGCTAGCAATGTTGGGAACTGCTAGGGCTTTTGTTGAATAGTAAACTGATTCTCTAAACATAGCTAGGTAGAAATGAGTGATTATGTATTCAGAATTCTAGTTTTATTATATCTTTGTGTGTATTGTAAGCTTCACCTCTTCTGTTTTTAGTTTTCCACAAACCCGCTTCTGTAGATTTGTCATAGTCATTCCATTATTTGGCAACAGGTAAGATTTTGTACGCTTCAGCGACGTCTCTGAATTTCTTCTCTGCTACTTATCCATTTTCTGTTTTGGGTTTGTTTTTTTTTTTCAGGACGCAACTAATGCCAGCTTTCACCATGCCTCTTCAACATCATGTGTAGAAGCACCCCTCTGCACAACTGGAGTTAATAGTAATTCCCCACTGTGCCAGGATGACCTCAGCAGCAATAGCAGATTGTCTTCAGCAAATAACCAGAGGACCAGTTGAGCTTCAAGTCCTCCCAGCACTCTTTCTGCTCTTTCTCCAAGTGACTGAGAACTCTAAGATTTTACAGTGCAGCTGACATAAAAGCATGGCAGCCAGCATGCTGGAAAGCAGCGGTGGACACAAGGTAGCATTAAACTCCAGTTTCCCTTCTGGTAAGACGTTGCAGTGAGGCCAACAAACTACCATTGGGTTAATTTGGCTTATCTGGCTACTGCAATACTGATGGTTAAGAAGCCACATGGGCAATAATGAAGGTCAGGCATATTGCCAGCAGGTCTCGAGACGTGGCAAACAGCTTCAGTCCTTGAGTGAGCCACAGTCCCCTGTGCTCCCAGAGAAAGCTCAGCCACGTACTGGCAGGCGACCATTCTTTGAAGATCTTCAAGAACACCCTCACTTTGCATCTCTGCCTCTCTCTTTAGTTATCCTATGCCCCCACTTCCTGATGTTACAGTGTTTTTTTTTTATTGGGCAACATCTTTCAACTGAATCTCTTTTCATCAGTGAGCTCTTTTGACTTGCTGACATCAATGGAACTCCAAAGAGGAGTAGCATATAATCATCATACAATCATCACTTCTTAGCAGCACTTACAATACAGTTTTAATAAAACATTCTGCAGTCCTTAAAACGTCTTCTCATTTTCCTTAAAATGTTGTAAGAAAAATACAGGCCTTAAAAATTCCTTGAGTCATTTGCTTTGGGTGAGTCCAGATGTATTTAGGCTCATCAAAATAAAGTGTGGACTCAGTTACTGCTGTGTGAGAGCTGAATGTAATAACAGATCCCATGATTACACTCTGGACTGTGGATGTTTTGCAAGGAAATCATTGTGCTACCCCTACTGAAGAAGTTCAGTGGAAAACAATTTCCCAGTGTTTTAAGTGAAACTGAATACTTTCCTTTACCATTTACAACCTCATTCCCCTTCAAATACATATTCAGGGCAGTAACAGATCAAATGAACTTAGGTTTCTAGGGCCCATGCAAGCTACACTAAAAACGGCAGAGAAAACCAGAGATGGCCAGAGCTTCAGCTGCCTGGTGACTGTAGACAGATGGCTAAAGGTTCAACGTGCACCTGATGGCACTGCAATACCTGGAAGGCCTGGGAGATCCTGGTAACAAATCCCATAAGTACACAGAGTTAAGCTTTGTGGCTAGCAAACAGTGTAGAGAAAACAGATCACCACTGGTAAGAGGTTAGGGATTGCTCCCAGGGCTGTTCCTGGTGCAGACAAGGAATGGGCTTGCAGAGCTGGCATGGAGAACCAGACGCTTGCTGCTCCTTGTGCTGCTCATGGAATGGAGGAGGCAGGAAGTGGAAATGACTTCTGCTGTGAGTGTCCATCCCACACCTCCTGGCCGCATCCTGGTGGCAGCTGTCAGCCCCTCTCTCCAAGGCTTTGGCATAAAGTGAAGTTGGCAGTGGAATCACAGCCACATTCCTGCCCATGGCTACCCTAGCAGAGCTCTGGCAACACATTGCTAAAAAGCAGCTTACTTCAGCTCTCCGCCTCTGAAGCCACTTGCCCTCGCTGCAGAATACTAATAAAACCTTTACACTCTACTTCTATGCTGCTTTCCATCAGGCTGTTGCAAATTGCTTTGCCAAAACTCGTGAGTTAGCCTCACCTTGCTGCTGCAAGATCAGTAGTAATTACTGCAGTGTTATTGACAAGCCAGCTGAGGTACAGAGAGGTTAAGATATTTGATGAAAGTCAGAGGTATCTGTCAGTATAAGGAAAAAAACCCCAGAGGCTGCAATTACTTTGCCTGTGTGGGTTTTTTTAAGCCACGTTTCCAGGGCTGTTGAGGAGACACGGATGCTGGTATTAAGGAATGGATACACTTGATTTTTTTGCCTGTTTACCCATCTTCAAATTCTGAAAAATTAGTAGCAGCTGCAGAAAGAGCCTCTCTCTGCACCCTGCCAGAGAACTACCCAACACCAGGCTTTTCACCCCCAAGAACAAAGAGCTAAATTTAGATACTTTTATTATACTCATCAATTATAATCAGATGGGATTTCACTGCCCAGGTGCAGAAGGTCAGCAAGATTAACTTGACCAACAGTAACGTTATTTCACATTAGATGTACAGTTTCCCTGCAACGCTGCCAATAACTTGCACTAGCTCAGTGCCTTGGAAGGGCAAGCCATCTATTCTGATAACTAAATACTAGTGTTGGTAACTAATTTCCTGGTAGTCACATGGAAACCTATAGACTTACTGGGGAAGGTGCTGAACTGACAATCTGGAGATGTAAGTTCCTTCTCTATGGAACAGGTGGGCTGTAGGCCAAGTAAGGCAGCTTCCCCATCCCACCCCGCTAACAGCCCTTACCAGTGTGCTGACAGCCAAGTTACAAGGGACCACAGGACTGTTAAGGTCTTTGCTGATCAAATCTACCAAAGAAGTCATCCATTAGCATCAGCAGTTACAAGACCCAACCTCTTTCTCAGACTGAGTCCTACAAGCATGCTGCTCCTCTGCCTAGACAGATTCTTCCCCTTTATTGCCAACTTGTCCTTTCCCTCTTCACTTGCCCTGCCAAGCTCAATGCAACACAGCAGCCCCTTTTTCACCCTAGGTCTTCAAAAGCAACTGGCTTGTTGGGAGCCCTGGATTTTATAATTACTCATTACTGTATTTGCACAATACACTGAGGAAGAAGGGAACTACCACTCATGTTTTAAATAAGAAAAGAGTGAAACTGAGTGGGTTGTAGAGGGAGACTGAGTCCAAGCCAGAAAGTTAGTTTAGATTCCTCACCTTTCAGATTACTTTTAAACAAACTCCAACCCATTATCAACACCTTGTAGCACAATATTATTACTCGAAGATCATAGTCGCATGGATTTTCACCCAATAACAGACTTAAATCCCCCCATTAATGTGGGATTTTTACTCCCATTTAAAAATACGTAACCAGGTCCATGGCAAAAAGGTGCAATGTGAGAAACTGGTGGCAGTCAAAAGGTGTTTCCTAACAGATTTACCTGTTCTTGAAAAGCATTGGCTTGTTCTTCAAATCCAGCTGTTCTGAAATAATTCACAACATCGATAACAGCCCAGTCAGCAGGATCCGGAGGTCTCCCGTTCTCTACTGAACTGCAAAGTGCAAATCCAGACAAGTAATCACTAAATGTGTGCAGAGTGTCTGCTGCTGCTGCTTTGTGCACACCCCATGTAGATCCCCCTCCTTCCTTGTTCCTCCAGACACAGTATCTTTTGACACACACACACACATACACACCCCCCTGCCCTGATACAGAATAGTCACTCCTGTTCTCTTCCCATTCAAAGACGTGATGCTGGGGACAACTGAGGTACCTCTCTCTTCAAAAAAGAAGAAAGTATATGAATCTTTATATCACCAAAGGTAATCAGTCAGGATCTTTCCCTGCCAAGCGTGCTGCTTTTGCAGCTGAAGAACAAAGACTACCATGACTGAGGTACCAAATCCCTGTCTTTCAAGACTACAGCTTGTTTTCAGCTACCAAGTACTTATAAAGAATTGAAGTATGTGGACTATTCCTTTCCCAGATGAGACTGTGCTTCCTCGTGGTACTACCGGAAACCGTCTCTACCTTGGAAAAAAAAAAAAACAAAAACTACTAAGGAAGAGAGGCACCAATGATTGCACTAATTGCTCAATATAGAAAATGTCCCAAGATTGTTTTTGGACTCATCTTTGGAAAGATCTATGTACTTTTGAAATAGCTATGAATCTGAGAAAACATCTGTTAAACACAATCAGAATTAATTCCTTCTCTGATGGACCTCCGGCAATTGCTTTCCACAGTAGCAAAAACAACCAGTCATTCATATTAAAATCCTTATCCTGCATTTCCTAACCTCAACCTGCCATCATCCTATCTCAGATTACTGTTATTTGCAGATAGACAAAGGTTAAAAAAGACACAGTGTGCTTGATTGCTTTTCTATACCAATTTAGGAGGATGAAGAGCAAGACATCAAAAGAAATTCTTTAACATATTTCTCCAACTGAAAGTCCCAAAGTTCATGCCTAAAGTTCATGCCTACATTTCCACTCTTCTGCATGCTTAAGCATAATGCTAATGAAGAAAAATCAAAAAAATGCATAGATCAGGGCAGATGTCAGAATCCTGGCTATTTCAGGTCGTGAAGCTTAGAGGCAGGACTGATTTTCAACAGCACCAGCTGGAAATGAAACACAGATTATATTCTCCTGACAGCATTTTTATTCTGTCCTTCAAGTTTTTCTTTTCCAACTGTCACACCACCTCTGTCTTGCCTGGACTTGCATACCTTTCAGAAAAATAACTGAGCAAATCAAGAGCCACAAAGAGAAGCAAGCAGAATCACATATAGTGCCTCCCATCACTGTTTCTAACAGCATCCCAGTTTCTGCAACTAGCTGAGCCCTGCGAAGGAGGACTCGTAAACGCAATGATTTTTGCTTCTCCCCTAACTCTTTGAATGTACCCTTCAATACAGCGACAAGGTTCTGGCCCTAGAGACTCACACTGCAGCCTCAATATCACACTGCAGCCTGCACTTGGTCTTCTAAATGCAGTTTCTTTCACTTATCACACGAAATATACACATATCTCAGAGTAATGAACAAAGGGCCAGTTTCTTACTTTTGCTCATCAAGTAATGACTTACTTTATGAATTGCTTTACTGATTGTGATTACGTAGAAAGGCAACACTCAGCAAAATTGAAAATGAGACTATCTAGCCTTATCAAAGCTGCCTCTTTTTTTTTTTTTAATCAAAGAATGCCTTTCAATTAAGATTTTTGGTGTTGTGCACATTCTGATGCTTAAGAAGTAAAATATGAAAAGCACCACACAAAACCTACACACAATGTGCTGTAAAAGCAGCATTTGAAGAATTATATTTATATCTTTGGGTTTTCCCTAAGACATACACTATCACTTCCAATGACTTATCTTCTACTTAAAATAAACAAACAAAATCCCAATATTTTAAAAAACACCACAATAAATCCTAAAAGATATTTAATTTAATTATTCCTAAACAGCAAATAAAAGATTCAATCTGTAAAAATACCTTCTAACTGTATTTTGCTTACTTCCCCAAACATTTTGATTTCAAGCTAAATATGGTCCCAAACCCTCTTTCCCACAATTTTGTATTTCAGCCCAGGTGCATTAGGTCTTCGTGTAGCTCTTCTTCTACAGCTTGGGAACTACAGCTTGGTCCAGCCCCATCCTGGGCTCAACTGCAATGACTTCAGGGGCTCTCCTTTAGTCATTAACTAATGACGGGAAATAATTGCAAATTCCTGCCTCAAGGCATAGTATCATGCTGGACCTCAAGTGGAGCCAATTTCCACAGCTACAGCTGCAGAAGGCTCAAAGGCACCCTGGATTTTAACCCATCTATCCACGCAGATGCTCATTTGGCTCCTAGACTTTAACAGCCTCCTCCTTGCCCTGCTGTTGCACATGGCTCTATTCTATATAGACAAGAAAAGGGAATATATAACAGCCATGGCTTAGCCATACACTAGTTTATGCCAGACACCCTGGATGCTGTAAAATCTTAAGAGGACTGGCATTTTAGGCTTTGTAATGAGATGCTAGATGCACTGATAACGAACAAAGATTAGGCTTGTCTGCTTTTCACCACTGTCCCTAGGCCTTTATTGCCACCATGTGGCAGAAGCAGCAAGGCCTGAAAGACAGTGAAAAAAACAGATTTTATACAAGCTATTTATAACCCCTTCAAGAAAGTGCCAAATACTTCCTTTGTAGATACAAGCACATACATGCTGCATACATTCCTTTAGAAACCACAGCTCGTGATCAGTTTAATTACAATCCCCATCAGATTAAAAAAGCCACTTTCACAATTAGTAGTTGAGCCTTTATCGCCTAAGCCTCAGGGGAAAATGGCTAAATGTAAACTGTCCTTGCTTTGACTGCCTCCCTTCTCCTCCCACCACCGAGTCCTCATTGTAGAAGCAGGACTGCCAACTGAAGGTGGCTTCTGAGGGATGTACTCGATATAATCTATTCATAGTCACTGATTAGAAAAATGCATTTTATGTTGTTGTGGTGTAACCAGCGTCTCAAGTGAAGGGGGAGCATGCTGATCTTAATGGCTGCCATTAGATCTTTTGATGCTGTGTCATAATCAGGTGTCTTATCAGCATTCTGAAGTGACCATTAGCTTTATTTATATTACCCTAGTGCCTGGGAGTCTAAGCATTGTCAAATTTTCTTAGAAGGCTTACAGAAAAGAGAACTGAAGGAGAAGAATAAAGTGGAGCTTTGAAGAAGTGTTGCAGTTTGAGAGGCCAGACTACAAACTCTCTCTAGTACATTTCTTTGTGTCTAAATTTGGTTTGTTTGTTTGTTTTTTTAATATATATATATATGTATATATCTGTCGTAGCACAGCTTCTACAACCCTACAGCAGCAAGGCCAAATTTCTCCACACTGATCTCCACTTCTCAGATCACAACTTCATTCAGAATTGCTAGTCCTAATCTAAGAATTGCTAGTCCTAATCTAAGAATCGCTGACCTTTGAGGATATGGAAAAGCCTCCAAAACAGCCCCTTTGCCTTAGCCTGCAATCTACTAAAGAAAATTGTAAAGCAGTGCACACCATCTTATTCCCACCCTAAGCCTGAAGTAAAAACACAGCAGTTTAGGGCTTCTCCAGTAAATAGCTTAAAGTATCTCTTCCAAAAGAGAACTGACACCAAAGACACATGCCACTGCTACTTCTCAGATCTAGACAGGTGGGCAGTCAGCAAAGAGGGGTGTATGTCTCTCTGAATGAGACAGTGAGGCTTCCACTGAAGACACTTCTCTCCATCAGGCACCAGTTCTGCAACAGCCCCTAGCAGAGAGGTGAGCAGAGGCAGAGGATTGGTTACAGTGCTACCCCTTGCTTTATTTTCTGGCTGAGAGGAAAAAATCAACAGAGAAAGGTATACCCCTAACTTAAGTTACTAGCTTTTACATCTCTCCATTGCTATACAGTCCTCCCACGTATCATTTTTAATCAATTCAGCGCCCAAGACTCTTCTATTTAGAAGCTGGAATACAATAAAAATAATTGATGGGGAAGGTTTGAAATGAGCAGAGACGGAAGTGCCCACCATTGCCAAACGCATTAAAACTACAATCCACGTGCTGTTTATATAAACTGAACACTATGGATTCACTTACTTTTTGACATCCAGAGAGCCATTTTCCTTGTTTTCCATGTCAACAGTTAGCATCGGGAGGATAGAGGTTTCTTTTACTTCAGCAACTGATCAATAGGGGGGAAAAAAGCTGTGTTTAATTATTGATAGTATGAAAAGAGCAACATAACGTAACAGAAACAAGCATTCTAAAGGGACACAACCATGTTTCCACCTAAGAGCGAAGGTGCTGTCAAAACCTGTTTCTCAGAAGCCTGGCAAAGCTGATAATGGCTAAAGAACTAGGAAAAGTTGACCTGCACTTGAAACACAAAAAATATTTCATGCCTTAAAATCAAGGAAGGTAATGTTACATTTAATCCTTTTTGAAACTAATTAAATTTAGATCAAACTATACATTCATACAGATAGAGATTGACCTACAATATATAGCTAGATATCATCAGAGCTTATTATGTCTTTAGACATCCTGCTGTACAGAGGACCCAAACAGATGTATGATCTTATCCCTAGTGAGGTTCTGAAATCCATAGCCTTGTTTTACCAATGGGGAATGCGGAATACAGATAAGCACATAGTGACTTACACCCATCTCATACACAAAGCTGGTAAGCAGAGTTAGTAAATGAGCACCAAACTCCTGAGGCCTAAATCTGTATTTTACCCTTAAGATCACCCTTCCTGCACTTGCACAGCTTCTTCTATAGGTATGGTATATACAGAGTTCTGAAAATGAAAGGAGCATACGAAGGACATGGGAGAAAATCTGGTTTGTTTCCCTCCTCGCAGCATGCTGGAGTACTTTCACCACACAGCTTTTTCCACCACTCCACGGAACATCCAGAAATGACTGGAGCCTTTTCTTTCTGTTCTCAAATAAGCTATTTCTATTTCAGAGACCACCAAAGAACTGACCAAGGACTCTAGATGTTCCTGCTGTAGCATTAATGGATGCCAGTGAAATGTCACAGAGCTTGGGGAAGTACAGAATAGGGAAATCCCGCTCTTCAGCTAAAACTTCACAAAAATAGAGGACAGCAATTAATAATGCTGTTAAAGAAAAGAGAAAAAAAAAAAGAGAGACCCGTTCTCATACAGCTAGCAGCAAGTAAAACACCAAGAAAACGGCAACAAAGTAATGGAAAAGATGCTTCTCCCTGCACCACTGACCGAGTAACTCAACGCATTCCTCAAATCACTTCGTGGTTCACCTGAGGTGACAGCCGACGACAACGGCACCAGCACTGCCTGCGGAAGGTCCCCTCGCCCCACCGCCACCCCGGGCTGGGGCAGGGCACCTCCCGCCGCCCCGCGCAGCCACCGGGGGTCGGGGGGAGCTACCGGGGGGGGTTGGAGAGGGGGGACACCCTTCCTCCGCGGCGGGATTAATATCCCGGCTCCGCCGGGACTGTGTGACACGCGTGCACCGTTTCACAAGCATCTCCGAAACCGCTCCCCAGGCAGCGCTGCACCGCACTGACATATTATTTTTTTGGCTGG